TCCGAATGGAAACGCGACGCTTTCCGGAACAACCGTCGTTCCGACGTTACGACTCGACGTTGTGTTATAAACAGTTACGATCGTCGACGAAGACGTTAAAAATTTTCATTGTCGCTATAAAGTTTGTGACTGGCGAATGTTTATTAACGGTCTGTAGTAGCTTCGTATTCACTGAATACAATGTGTTCCGAGATGAATATAGTCCTTCGAGTACTACTGGTAGCCATGGTATCGTGATTAACAATGGGGTCTACTAAACTCGACAAAATGACGGATTTCCTGAAATCGTGATGATGCTTTTGTTGGAATTTATGTTGGCCTTTAATTCATTATACATTTTATATTATATCGTATTTTATATTATATCATTAATGAAGAATCTCTGTGAAATTGCTCAGTGTCTTCTATTCTGATAACTCCACTATTTTCTCCGTTTAAGGTCATTTCACAATCGTTTTCTTGCGTTCCAAAAAAAAAAGATGGTGGTCCGAAGTGGGAACCAATATGGCTACCCTCCGCGAAAATAATAATACAGTCTTCCATTTTAAAACTACTGCGCGTTTCTCATGACCGCTTCGTTCGCCTCGCGGCGGTTTCCCTAACAACGTGGGCAGTCAGTGTGAAAGAAACAGTTTGCAAAGGGAAGTAGACACACGAGGGGCTCCCCAGCGCTGATCTATACCGATCTAAAGTAAAAGAAATTACCGGTGATACGGGTCGATCCTCATCTATTCCTCCTTGCGATAGACACTATGAGGTGCGTTCATGGTTCACGATGCAAATGGGCCGATTTCTTGCTCTTTACTCCCCACAATTGAAACATAAGTGCAGAGCAATCTCCATATAACACGGTTAAAGAATTGGGAAAAATCTTCAAATAACACAACGGATTAAATAGTGTCTGGAACGGTGTAGGTTTGTTACGTTTTTATAACCTAACCCTACTTTTTGTATGTACACTCATAAGTATGTGGACACTTGGTCTGTACGCTGAAAATAGGACGTTTTACAAAAACATTTGTGACCTACTTTATAGTAGCATAAGCCTTGTCCATCGAACTTTAATATCCCCCAAAACGCTATTTATTTCAGATTTTCAGCAGTTTGCTCTTGATAACATTTACTGCGTGTCAGTAAACATAACCAAAACAGTTCGCGTGCTAAGCCCAGCTATTAGCTGGCAACTGTCTCTATCCCACCTAAAACGGTCATTGCTCCCCTTTGTGTATGATTACAGTGCTCGACTCGGTTGAACGAGGTTGTAGTTCTTAGTTTCCCATAACAGTGCAATTTTTCGAAACCCCAACCCACTTTGTTATACGAGGGTCACCTTGTATACATATAGTACTTCAGCTACCTCGGCTACTTTACGACCACGTTACGTCTCTCGCTCGAAGCGGTACATTTCCGTCTCTCCCTCCGACTTGCACCACACCACCGTGTATACGTATACGTATGTATGACCCGTACATATATGTATTTTGTTTGACATTCCACGGGCCAGACTCGAAGTTCCCCTTTTTGGCTTATTGCATCCCCGACCGCAGAGCCTCGAACCTCATCAAACTTGGAGCACCAATAGGAGGGGGGGCGAAGGGGGGTGGAGAGAGGTTACTCAAAAGTTGCCCGTGCGCGCGCACCTTGTCGTACTGTACGCTGAAATCCGGCCCGTGAGCGTGGAGAAGCGCCGCAGCAGCCCAGGCACCAGGCGGTTTTATTAAAAGCGGGCTCGTTTGGTCCCGCCGGTGTCTCTTCGCCGTTTCCGTTATTCCCGGAGCGGTATGCAATTATCGGGGTACTATTACCTCTGGCAGCCGAGGTAGGTGGAGCCTATCGCGATGAAAGTGAATTATTCAGCAGCCGCTAATTAATTAGCGTCACCGGGAAGCATCGGGAGGTAATATCGTTTTCCCAGACGCGCGAGTCCTCGTTAGAGCCAACCAGAAGATATTTGTGTGTGTGTGTGCCCCCCCCCCCCAGCAACGTTTCCGGTGAATTTCCAACGGAAACACTTCCACCTTACCCGCTATCGCCTAATCATTATTAACCGGCGAGAGTAGGAACTTCTCACTTTTCATGGCCCCCTTTCTAAGAAGCTTACTCCGTAGGGACGTGTAATCGGTCTGTATAATTTTCGTTCTGTTTTAAGGTTGTTTCCTGTTGTTCTCGACTTGCGATAGTTGGCAACGAGTGAGTCTCTCACTCTGGCCCGAAGCTAACTTCAGAGTATATAGAGTTTTCAGAGATCCTTTTCCGTTTTATGAAAACGAGAACAGTGCTGTTCCTCCTTTATCTTTCCAGCGTCGAATTAAGGGGCGGGGCTCTGTAGCCCCGGGCCCCGACCTAAAGCTGCGTCTACACTGTATAGCATAACACGTTATATAGCAAGGTTACAAAACCTGTTAGGAAAACAGAAAGAAAAATGTTGTATAACACTTTTTCGTGTTATATAGCAAGTTCTATCCATCAAGTGGGACGTCATTATTATAACGAGATGCGAAATGTTACACACACTTGTCACAGACTCGTCCAAAAGATATAATCTTGTAACAAAACACAAAAACATATTATTTTATATAGCAAAGTTATATAACAATTTGTTATAGAACACTATTTTGCTGTATAATGTAGACGCAGCTTAGTCCTTCCATTTATGTCAAAAAATAACCGAATGAAATTTTCTTTATTCTTTCCCTTTTGAAATAATTAAGAATTACGCTAAATTTAAAAATAATCTGTACCCCCCCCCCTTTCCGCCGCGTTTCAACCAAAGAGGCCCTCGAAGGTTTGATATTCCTGGGCCCCAAAAATCTTAATGCTTGTCTGATCTTCAGAGTTACAGGCTGAACATCTCTGGATTCTTGGTCGACCGTGAAGCATATAAGGATATTTTTTCAGCTCTCCAAAGTTCTATACGCGTGCCTCTGCCTTGATGTGAATATCTGACGCCTTGTCGCGCGAAATATGTACATATTCACCGGCGTCCAATACGCTGAGAAACGTGAGCAGAGCGACGGGTGGAGTGGGAGGGGTACTATATTATCAAATGTACGCCGAGCGAAATCTAAACGGGACGGGGGCACACAGGAATGTGCACACGGTGTGCACGCGGTCGGATGTCTGGCAGAGAGGAGCAACGACGAATGGGGATCGTCTTCGAGACAGAACCACGCGGCGAAAAAGAATAGAAGCGAATCGATATATTGTGGTAGATCGACTTTATGTATTGTCTAACGGGATAAATAAAGAGGCGAAGATCGCGTGACTTCCGGTAGACCCGCGGCAAAAACACAAGTAGTCCGGTGTTAAGATGGTTCGTGCGAAATTCTAGACTAGATAATTAAATAAACTTTGTACAGATTGTTTAATAGAACGAAATACACACAATCGAAAAATGTGAGACTAGGTCACCGATGCAATCAATAAGAAAAAGCTTGTCAAAAATTCAGTTCTTAACACAGCTCTTATAAGAAGTATAATCTTTTCTCATCACAGAAACTGCAACTGTTAACCAACGACTAGGTACTGAAAGTATAAATCCTGAGTTTTCTGATGAATTAAATCTAGTACCATGCTTGTTGAAGTAGGCTCATATCCGCGAAATTCAAATAAATATAAAAAATATTTTAGTTATTTAGAACGTATACCAGAAACAAGCACAGTCGAGTCATACGACTAACCAAAATATATATTTTATTTATAACATAATGAAGATTGATCATTTGAAATGTTGAAATTCATAGATATAATTTTTATACGCTATTAAAATGTATTTAACAGATTACTTGGCGTGGTACATATTAGTGGGTATTTAAGACCAATTAGTAATATGATGCTTTCTAGACCAGAGAGTCAGGTATGAACCACCTTAACTGCTGGGGGAAAGCAAGTATTTATGCGCGAGGCACAGGTGACGTTAAATAATACCGACTGGGGACATTTAATATCGTGTGACCGAAAACGAAACGTATCAGGAAATATTGGATCGTATCCTAATGATCACCAGAGATGGGCAAATTCATTATCTGACCAAAAAGTTTCGAATAACAAATGAAAGACAGAAACAAGTACTTCAGCGTTTGCAATTGATTAAACGTGGAAATAAGAATGATACTTGTTCTGGAACGAGTAAATACTTGGCAAACAATTATTCAATCTCATTAACTGTTCAAAGGTGGGGATGACGCTCTTAGATACTGTTATTTCTCACGATGTGTTATTCGAATAAAATACTACCCAACACTGACGGTTACTGTGCATTTTGTCCGCTGTGACATTGGTGTCGCTAGTGATATGACACCGTGCATGTTATTAGCAGGAAATCTATTTCACCAGGGATTGAGTCATAAATAACCTTCAACGTGGTGAAATAAGACAATGAAATTAGAATACAGAAAGTAAATGTCAGCTGTAAGATTTAGTAACGGGGGACGTATTAGATTGGTATTGATTGCAAAATGTCCCTAATAAATTTAAAAATGTCAGATAGAAGTTATTTACGACTCAACCTAATATAAACGGAATATCGCTTGGAACTGGAAAATCTAACCAGACATTGAAAGAACCTTTGAAATTATTTTGGGTTCCTTTCGTCAGCATCGCAGCTACCTCCATCAGGGTCAGTGATGATAAAGCTAGCCCGCAATGCCGACGAAGTATCACGTCCACCGTGTTTTAAAAAGATTTACGGATAACCGTCGTATAACATGGTGGTTAGATTTCTAAAAATAAATGGTATGCCAATTCGTGTTGTACGGAACTAGAACTGATATGTAAATACATACAAAAAAAAACAAGGTTAGATTTCAGAAACTGACAAAAGTACAGTATTCTACACAATTCTTTAGTCATGTTAGAGCGATACCGTGTTATTCGGGGGTTTCCCCAATTTTCTAACCGTGTTATGCGAGGGATAACCTATACCTGCACCCACAAAAAAGACTAAAATATTCAAGTGTATGGAGGCAGCGCTAACAGTCACGATATGTCTTCTGTTCCAGATACCAAACCCCGCGCGCATAGTCATGTGATTCCCTCTACGAAGGGGCAGATCTCAAAAAATTCGGTTGTGAATAAATCCCTCTTCGAAGGCACCCGTCACAGGCCTCTTAGTACTTCCGGTCGCGCCGGGTGATGAGCTCAGGATACGAGGTGACAAGTCCCCGCAGAAAATGTTCCGCTTCAAGATTCGCATTCACACGTGTCAAGTGATACTGCTCACGTCACTGGTATGGTTCCTCGTGGACGTGATGGTGTTGATGCTCTATTCGGACTGTATCGGAGGGTCCGGATGGGGTTGCTCGGAGAGCGGCAAGCAGCAATCATTGACGGAGGAGAGTGTGCCGCATCCGAAGGCGTTGAAGGACGAGCAACAGGTCCAGCCCACTAGTCAACTAGGCAAGAAACACTACAAGCAGAGCGAGCTGCATCTTTGGAGGCCGGCGAAGATGGTGCGCGAGAGCAAAGGTAACCCCGGCGAGTTGGGCGCAGCCGTACATATTTCGCCGGAGGACGAGGCCAGGCAACAGGAACTGTTCAAATTGAATCAGTTCAATCTGATGGCCAGCGACATGATCTCCTTGAATCGGTCCCTGAAGGACATCAGACTGGAGGGATGCAAGACGAAAAAGTACAGCAAGTATCTGCCGGACACTAGCATCGTCATTGTGTTCCATAACGAAGCGTGGAGCACCTTGCTGAGGACCGTCTGGTCGGTTATAAACCGCTCACCACGGACACTGCTCAAGGAGATCATTCTTGTGGATGACAAGAGCGAACAAGGTCAATAGTGTCTTACGTGTACTTGAAGATAATCTTAACAGCAAGATGATAAACCTTAGGGCGGGGGGGGCATAAACAGAGGTTAGGGTCCAGCAGCAAATTAATAGTTATAATAACAGTAGGGAACAGAACATTGCATCCAACCTCCGAATTGGAAATCCACCCATCTCTTGTAGAATAGGATTTGAAATTTTTTGGACCACTCTAAATGTCTTGGAACAGGGGACCCTGGTCTAAACCAAATCTCTAAAACCAGCTTCTGTTTATAGCTCTACTGAGTTTATCACTTTACTGTATAGTTATCTTCAGGTAGAATCACTTTACACAATAACTGATAATACTCAATTGATCCCACAGCTCACTTGAAACACGAGCTGGAGGACTATGTAAAAACGCTGCCTGTGCCCACGTACGTGTACCGTACCGAGAAGAGATCAGGCCTAATAAGAGCTAGATTGCTCGGGGCGAAGCACGTCAAGGGGCAAGTTATAACATTCTTGGACGCGCACTGCGAGTGCACGGAAGGCTGGCTGGAACCATTGCTCGCCAGGATCGCTGAGGAGAGAACGACCGTTGTCTGTCCCATCATTGATGTGATTAGCGACGATACCTTTGAATACATTCCGGCTAGCGACATGACGTGGGGTGGTTTCAATTGGAAACTGAACTTTAGGTGGTAAGGAAGGTTGACATTTCCCAGCAGTGAGTCTTGTTCAAGAAGTTAATCTACATTTCACACGGTCAGAATCTATCTGGATGCCGTAACGAGTGACGTTTAGGTACTCTTTGACCGAGGGAAACCTAAAGTACACTCTCCGACAAATATCATTATTGAAGATGTACACTTTTGTTTCATAGAAAATTTTTTTATCTTTCTCTTCACTTTATAGTAAAGATACACTCGAGCTAGTCAGCTTCTCAAAAGTGTATGGAACGACAGTGTTTTCAAAATAATATTTTTTATAGACCTTAGGAACACTGTATTTAATAACGCTGCTGAATGGAAAATGTTTTGAACGTTTAAGGTACAGAGTAGCGCAAAGAGAAATGGACAGAAGATTGGGAGACAGAACGGCTCCTCTAAGAACACCGACCATGGCTGGCGGATTGTTTTCCATCGATAAGGATTACTTTTACGAATTGGGCGCGTACGACGAAGGCATGGACATTTGGGGAGGTGAAAACCTTGAAATGAGTTTCCGAGTGAGTATTTATCGGTGACACTTTGTATCCTATCATGAAGTAGGATAAGCACGTGAAAAGTAATGAGTACAAAAGTGCGCGGCATTGTACTTTTTAAAATATTTTTATTTAATGTCTGTTATACAGACATTAAAAATTTACAGGTGTTTCTCCAGAGGAACTTAGAGCACATATTTAAAAAAAACTTAAATATGTATTCCTTTTGTTTGCTTTTCGAGCTATTTTCCTGATAAAAATGTTCTTTTCCTTACAGTACATGTATACAATAAGTAGTTACGTTTCATTCTTTGTATACTTTAATACTGTAAAGTACCAGTAACGTCGTAGTTACACTTGATACTAGAACTTCAAGTTTCGTAACATGTGATTTGTGAAGAATCTATCAAATCAATGATATCTCTTTCATGGAATACACTGAGATCCATTTTCCGGGAATGGCGCTATCATCTGACCATTTGATGGTTAAGATTTGAATAACTTTCTTGAAGTTTTAGTATTACACGGTAATGGGATTCTGGAATTAGCTGTTGAAAGAAATGAAGGATCTAAGTTTCTGTGACTCCAATTAGAGGGTTTAGTTATAAATACCTTCATCTTCATTTGTGAAGTCATAAAGTACCTTATAGGTATGGCAATGCGGTGGGACATTAGAAATCAGTCCGTGTTCACACGTTGGACATGTATTCCGAGACAAGAGTCCATATACATTCCCTGGTGGTGTCAGCAAAGTAGTACTACACAATGCGGCTAGGGTGGCCGAAGTCTGGATGGATGAGTGGAGAGATTTTTACTATGCCATGAACCCAGGTTAGATAATAACGTGTATCATTTTCATTTCTTTTTTTCCACTTTGTCCTTACAATAATTTATTTAATTAACAATGTCAATTATTCACTAGTAAACGGAAATTTTAACAATATTGAATTTTACTTTAGAAAAGTGTGCAATTATTGTAGTATGTCGACTAAAAAAAAACGGATTCACTACAAGAATGTACAAAAGGTAAAAATTGATCGAAAAATTGATGCTTAAGCTCATGTACTCTCGGTAGACACTGACACAGTACACATTCTTATAGTGCTAGAGTATGTTTACAAACGTTCCAAGTACACATATATACTTGACGGGTATCTGATAGAAGCAATGCTGTGATATTTTTTATACAAAAGAAATAGTATATTATAGCACACTTTTTAGTTGTTACCAGTATCTTTTACTCGAGTAATAAGTAAGCTATTATATCTGTAGAAGTGTACCTTAAAGTGTATTTTAAAGATACGAACTTCTCGTACACTAAAAAAGATTTGTTAGAAACTTAACAGATAATCGGAACATAAAAGAAAATTGCACTAGTGTTATCGCGATCAGTAACATGCGTAGTTGAACTAAGCATTAAAAATATTAACACCCATAACTATGAAATACCCGCAGACTCAATTGTGAGATTAACTTTTAAATGTATTTCTTATTGTAACATTAACCAAGTTGTTTGTGCATCTAGCATAGAATGTTATATTAACACGTATATGCATTCATGATTGTGTTCTCTGTAACCACATGCATTATCAGTTTTCCCAAAATACTTTTACTGGTGTGTGAAATCTGAGTTTGGGATCGAGTTGTTGCATTTAGCCACACGAGATCTGATTTCCAGGAGTACGATCGATTTTGTTGCATTTCAATATTACACACATACTTCAATATAAGTCTTAACCACTCATCCATCCAGCTGACTAACAGAATGAGTTCCCTTGCTTTTAGTTGATATGATTTTATAAGCCACGTTATAGGTACAGCAGAGGGAGAGTGAAGGTCCGTCTGAACAATTCTGAATTTAATGTATTAGCTATTTTTCGTTGATCGTGTTATGAACTGTAACTGCTAACATACTAACAGAACTGAGTTGGTTAGATATGGATGTGTGGTGGGACATTGGAGATCGCAACGTGCTCGCACGTCGGTCATGTATTCCGTAAATCAACACCGTATACGTTTCCTGGTGGTACCAGCAAGATAGTGAACCACAACAATGCGCGACTCGCGGAGGTCTGGTTGGACCAATGGAAGTACTTCTATTACAACATTAATCCAGGTAGCACTAACAGTCCAGCATTTGTGGATGAGAGAGAGAAAACAAAAATCAAAGAACAGACTGCATTGTCGCTGCTGAGTTCTCATGTGCTTCTTTATGAATTCTTTGGCTTGTCTGTCATGCATGTTTATTTTATGTTTTTCTATCTATTGGGTTGGCATGCTTTTATCAGTTGTGTACGTTACGAGTTTCTCGCAACCCCGGGTAACCAGCTACATGTATATCAGATACCCGTTGGATACTGTACCTATAGGAAACATCATTAAGGTGTTTCCTTTTGTTTCATGCGTATCGTTTAAATTAGGAAATCGATAGACGTAACCCGAAGAAACAAGAATGTACAGAGGACAATGTATTACGTTCGCATTATCCGAATTAAAAGTCTCGATTACAAGTTGCAATACACAGTAGCACAGTCATTCCAATGGGCAAGCATCACGGCATTAATACACCACACATGGCAATTCCTTTATGTTGGCACATATTTCCGTCACACTCTATTTTCAGTGAACAATCGTCCATGCAAAGCACATTGTTACGTCACATAGATGTAAGGTGGTGTCCTGTTCAACGATATTGAGTTGTTACATTTACTTATAGGAGCTCGAAACGTGGCTGTCGGAGATGTATCGGAACGTGTCAAGTTGAGGGAACAGTTGAAGTGTAAAAGCTTCAGATGGTATTTGGAAAACATATACCCTGAATCGCCGATGCCTCTGGACTATTACTATTTGGGCGATGTACAAAATGTCGACACGCAAACTTGTTTGGACACAATGGGCAGGAGAACAGGAGAGAATGTTGGGATTAGTTATTGTCATGGATTAGGTGGTAATCAGGTTCGTGCGAAAAATCTATCAGGTCGGAGATTTGAGGCTTTCACCTAAGAGATTTACATTTCTTAAGCTTCAATAGTCATAACTCTACATACTGTTTACCAAAGTTTGATGACCGTAGATCTTACGTATTCATGAAAATTAAGTAGGGTTTTTGTTTCTTTAGGTATTTGCATATACCAAACGACAGCAAATTATGTCTGATGATATGTGCCTTGATGCAGCTAGTCCCCAAGGTCCAGTCAAGATAGTACGTTGCCATGGTATGGGTGGAAATCAAGCATGGGTTTATAATGAAGAGGTAAAATACACACTGCTTAGAACAGACATAATATCTTTAAAGTAAACATTAGAATAAATTTATGTATCTTTTCACAGACAAAAATGATCAAACACACTAATACAGGACATTGCCTGTCGAAACCTCGTTCGAACGATGTAATGCAACCTGTCCTAGCACCATGTGATTCCCATAACATTGGTCAGAAATGGAAAATGCGTAGTAAATTCAAATGGCAGGCCAGCTAATATCGACTGAGTGTAACAACTACGTGTAGCACTTGTTGACATATTTAATTTACTATGGAGATTTGACAGTGAAAAGACTTCTCTACGTGCGAGATCAAAATCGATGATAGTATTATACCCCAGAAAGTCCCAATATCACCTTTAGACAAATCCACCCTGACTTCGATCAGTGGATATCGATCTTGCAACTGAAATTCAGTTATATCTAAAAACGAGAGATTGAAGTTAATGCTTTTAGTTACATAGGATTTATTTACTGTTAATCGCAGTATCATGTATTTACTGCCATTTGTCATGGTATGCCTTGATTGAAAATGCACAAGAACGTCTAAGTGGAAAAGGAAATTATGTCCGAACAGTGCGCGGATGTACACGAGTGATACAAAATGGTACGGATGTGGACATTTCTTTTCAGCGAACAGTAGAGAGGAAAGCATATCAGACCACTGTTATAAATAAATGATTGTTGATACAAAAGAGAGACATATTTGATAATATGGGATGAGTGCAATGCTGGATGACTGGGAGATATATCAGTGCACTAAAAGACACAGATATGTGTTCGTGGCATAAATGTTGTTACGACTGAGTGAATGTTGGGGGAATGCAAGTGGAATTATTGTGACACTACTGACTACGATCTAGGACTTATACTGTACAATTTTCTAGCGATTAGGGAAGAGCACTGAATCTTTTTATACTGATATTTCTAACAGTTCCTTGTTGCATCTCGTTCGTATGATTTAGTTGTTATTTTCTTTATTTTTGGATGGATAAGTATGTACTTACACTTGAATTCGCCATAGTTATATGAGATTATACTTACAAGATATCGTTTAAGAATACGAAGAAAAAGCTATTGACTGTTGTTCAATGTAGTGTTATGTTTTAAGAACTTTCTTGAATTAGAGACAGAATATCTTCCGTATTTTTTTAAAAAGCAAAATAGTAAATATTTTTATGATGACTATCATCTTGGAAAGATGCGATTCACGATAAATTCAGATTTCGTTTCATCTTCCGTGTACCAGAGGTGTGTCAAAAGATTTAGAGTGCAATATACTTGTTGGGTAAGATTTCAAGAGAACAGTTTCCTGTAAGTAATGTAAAAATGTTGTTATCAGATTCTGGCGCCCTTCCCTTACATTATAGTAGATTCAGATTGTTGTTTTTTTTTCACAATACGAAAAAAGAAAGTCGACGAAGTGGAGCATTTTCTCTGTAAAAATGTTGACTGATTATTGTATTTCCATTCGCGGTTGAGAAAAAATCTAGCTAATTCTACAACCTTAAATAAGAAGCCACTGAACTACATTTATAATATTTAAAATATATTATACAACTCTGAAATTTCAATTTAGGAGAATTTTAATATCAGACAATATACTCAGTTTTATGTTACTTGAAGGAATGGTGATGGTGCAAGCGGATTATCGTTTACAGCTTAATTATACATATTTAATTACTCATTGCAAAACTATAGTATTTATTTTTGTACAGGACTTGATTCCCATTAAATCAATATGTTATTTTGAATATATGTTTAATTAAGAATTGTGTTAGCAGAACTTGTAGATAATTTGTTAGTTGTTCAAACTGATAAAGTTAAGTAAGTTCACGAGTATAGAAAAGAAATAAAGTCAATAATTTGTAAACATACTTTCTTCATTTTAATTCATCTTATTCAAGTAATATTTGTAATTATTTGTGAAAGCAACATGGCATCGTTAATGAACATAATTGTAAAAATTACATTGGAGCATATAAAATCATTTAATACGAACTTCTTTTTAAGAAATTTGTAGCTGTTAATAAGATTACTTCGTAAGTTTAAACATTTTGAATTTATTTTTTACATTTGAATTTATGTACATACAAATATTGTCTAAGTATAACGAAACAATTGTTTCATCACTTATACTTGAAAAATAACTTGTGAAAGTAATACATTTTCAAAGACAATAAAATAGTTTATGTATGTTCCATTAGGTTCTTCTCTATGAATATTGAGAAGCATGTATGTAACTAATCTCAATGATTAAGCTAACATCTTCATACATTTTCTAAGGTCATAACTTCATAAGTATCAGTTAGCTTCATTAATTTATGGAAGACTATGTATGTTCATGTTCTATGAAGTTTACATAAAAGATTACTTATTATTAATCGAATTCTATCTTAGAATAAGACACGATACAGATTGTAAAAAGATGATGTGTCCAGTTCTGATAAAATTCAATATACATCTCAACAATCGAAAACACGTGTAAATAGACATTATAACTATGGTTTCTTATGTGCCTCCAGAATAATTTCTAAACATATTATGACAGAATCCAACTATTTATGATTCTGATGTATTATATATTGAAATACAACAAGCCTAATTAAATCTAAAAGAAAAGTAATGTTCATGGTGTTACTCTTTTACCAAAATAATTTTAAACAGATTTATTTACTTCTTTTGCTTAGATGCAGATTTGGATAATGTAAGCTCAAGTAGTTTGCGACTAAATAAAATTGCAAGCAATCAATTGAGGGTTTAAATAAATTGTAGTCTTGAAATATTAGTATAAGATATTTATTATATTTACTTATTGTTCTTTAACTTCGCGCAATCTCCTAACAGCAGATCTAACAGATGCAGCAGCTGTTGTTGAGTACACCCATGCACCTCCTGCAACTGTCCTCTTGCATCGTTTGCATGACCAAATTCCAACGACACTACGCTTCATTGCATCCTACCGCACAATAAAAAAAACATTTAAGTATAAATGTTATTGTAATACTCATAGCTAAATAGAAAACATACAATACTTGTGTACTGCATACTGACACATGTTTGTTTTGTAACAGAGTCTTATTCTAATATAACTTAAATTATTTTAAATGTAAATCATCATGTGTCTATGATATGTTACAATTCACTGTTTACCTTGCCACAGAATGTGCAGGTATATTTGCTGTGCTGGGTGATTTCCATCTTCTTCACCATCTTCCTGAGGGAGGCACCATATCGGGTACCATACTTTCCGGTGATTCCTACCTTCTTCGTGCGTTTCGCCTAACAATTCCAAACAATTATTATTGTTAAAACTAAATTATTAATAATTTGATGTATAGGTGAAGCGGAATAATTATAAAGGAATTATCATGTTTATACATATATAAATATGACACATATAGATTAAGTTAGGTGGTATTGCAACACTATCACTTTAGTTTTTCTAACAATTAAAAAGCCAATAAAGCGTATCACCACATTTCATTAATATTCCCTATAGTGATATTTTATACAAAAGTACAAGTAATAGCATAATGTATCCATTGAAGGACAAATATAACCTAAGATCACAATTTCAATACACAAACTAATGTTTCAAAATATATAAATGACCATAATATATTTTTCAACACTTAGTCAACGATTGTCTTCAACACAACACCATAAAGTTTACTAATATTTCGATAAGATTCAAGGAATATTTTCCAATAACAATTCTTACCATTTTGCACAAATTAAGGTACGTTCCAAAAGAACCGGAAAAAGGAGAGAGACTTTAAAGTCCAATCTTCACGATGCGCGTCAGTCACCGGAAACCGTAATGCAATGGCGTAACATGAAACGCACGAATTCAAATCATACCATATGGACAAATAAAACCCGCACTTTTTAATTCCTTGATCTCCATCACCTTAGTAATACTCCATCGATTAACACTTCTCTATACGATCATTACGAAAAGATTAATGAAAACCGAAGGGCCCACATAGCCTGTCTAATACGAAGGGGGGCAAAATTGGATATAAATTATTCCAGAGTCTATTCATGAATAACGAATAATTTTTCATTTATTTAGATAAAAATTTAGTCGAACAACTAGTAAAATAAAAACAATTCTGCCTACAGTAGCCAGGTCACTATATCGAGAAGCGCTCCTCTTAGTCCTCGATCTCTCACGTATGTAAGACGGCAGCACCGATTGGTCTCTTCAGATTTATTCCTCGCTAAAAAAATAACGAATATAAAATTTTATTCGGCTAAATTTTTCACGTAAAGTGCTGTAGCACATTTATCCATGACGAAGGAAGAATATTTGTGACCGATTAAAATCACCATTTGCCATTTACGAATAAATTCAGAGATCGTATTTATTCGGTGAAGTGAAACTCGCCCAATTTCTGACGGCGGGTATACAATCCAGATCGGTTGACTAAATTTTCACGGACAATGCAGTCGTGGCTGTGACCCCGATACCTGACCGTTAGAATTTCGTCGAGGGTGTACACAGTTCTGGTATCAGGATAGCAGTTGGATCGTGGCCGCGACGTAGAAAGGATTGGTGTGCAGTCGCGCATGAGAACACTCGTTAAACCGGCCTGAAATGACGTAGCCAGTGGATCCCAGACCAGCCCAGGCCAGTGCGCGTTAAATCAGTGTTGCTCATCGTCGGCGATCGCCGGACTAAATAGCCTATAGCGGTTCACGCTGATCGCTTATCACTCCTATTAGCGGAACCGCATAAATCGTGGCACACACGACGAGCAGGAGCGCGAGCGTGTCAATTGGTACGAGGGCGCCGGCTAACGATGGTCGTCAAAATCTACATATCGGGTATCAGCGGCAACAAGGAAGTGAGTGCGAAAAACACCCGCAGCGGGCAACCGAGCATAATGATATTTCGTGCGAGAGCAGAGAGCCAGAAAGAGAGCGTTTGTGTTTGTCTGTCCGTGTGCGTGTAGCGCGCTTACAAATGCGTCTCCGTCCCTCTGTGTGTGCGACTCCGAGGGAGAATGCCAGATTTACCGGGCACCTGAATTCTTACGATATTTCACGGCTACGTTGGATCGGGTTACATTGAGAATCAAGCGACCGTTGTGTCGCTATAACGATCAAGACTGTCAACCGCGGATCTTTATTCGTCGCGCGGAACGCTCCTCGTTTCGATACAGAGATACGGTTTGGTTTCTCATAGAAGTGGAGATGCATTTGGTATCACGGAAACGTATGTTAGACACTCGGACGATGACCGAGCTCTTTTTTGACGAATTTAACGCGAAATTAACGCGAAGGATCGTAGAATGGATATGGAGAAATATTCGTTGGGAAATAAAACTACAGATCCTGGGTAATTAAAGCTTTCGTCGAATGTTTATGTTCGTCGTAATGAAGCCCGAGTTATCTGGGATGTCGTGTAGATCCTTTTCCGTGGTCCCTTGTCATGATATTGTTCTGTGTTAATTGGAAATTATTCTTTTTCCTTTAACACGAAAGATTATCGATGAAATTGAAAATGGTATTCATTCGATCGGATCGATAAGAACGCCGAAACAATGGTATTTTGGATACAAAAATTGAATACGTTATACCGTTACACGGATGATCGTAAATATTTATACGAGTGTATATTCTCTATGAAATTACAATCGTATTTTATTGGATCTTTTCAGGTAAAAAAGAGGCAACAGCGCGTTTTAATGATATTAGATAGTAAAAATGTAGAGTATGAAACCATTGATATAACAGAACCAGGAAAAGAATTGGACAAGGAGTTTATGCAAACCAATGGTATCGCAAGGGAGAGCAAGTATCCATTACCTCCACAAATATTTAATGAAGAGGAATATTGTGGGGTAACTATCGCTATATAAATTGATCAGAAATAACTTTAAAATCTAGTTCTATATTTCTAGATCTATAAGCTTATAAATTTTTGGCTTGATCTATTATGATTGTAATGAATCACCTAACAGGATTATGAAGATTTCGATTTGGCAAATGAGATGGATGAATTGGAAGAGTTTTTGAAAGTGGCTCCTCCTGCTAGTGCAACAGACACTATTCGAGATTCAAATCAAAGTAAGAACATCCAAGAAAATGGAAATACTACAAGTAGAGAGGTAAATATCATAATTATTTGAACATTGTGACTATAAATCTGATTTTTGTGACTATAAATTTTCATTTTCAATTGTCTTACATGTGTTTATTTACTTGTGTTTTGTCCTTGGCACTAAATTTATACTATGTCTGTACTAACTACAACATGTTTATTTTAGCCTTCCACAGACAAGGATGCAGTTGCAGTGCAAGAGGAAAGGTAAGAGTTATATACACATTGATTGCATAATTCTGTAATTATTTAATTAAGTTAGGTAATGGGTATAAGTGCAAATATATACGATGAAAACAATAAGTTTCAAAAATAATTCTTTATTACATGACTCAATCATTTCCTTCTTCTATCATTGTAGTCTAGAGGAAAGGACAGCTCTGCCAAATAAAAGTCCAGAGTCAGATGAATCAAAACCTGTAGAGCATGATGGGGGGACACATACCACGGCAGATGAAGACATAGAACATCCGGAAGAGAGTATTGAAAAGAATGTAGAAAAATCCGATGATCAAGAGAAAGAAGAGTAGGTGGGAAGTAAGCCCATTTGATAGTGGGGTATTTTATATTTCTTTGACATCCTTGATTCTCCATGAGTAAGGGTATTTTATAAAAGCTATATTTATCACATTTCTAAGGCTGAGTGAAAGTACTGCCAAGATAATATTTCTGTGCTGCAGAAGACACATTGAATGAACAGTATAAATGAAGTATAAGTGACACTTTTATAGAACAATTTTGTATTGCAATTGAGTATGTTTTCACCAACAGATTTTTGATAGGTCCAGCTAGCAGATATGAACTAATTTCATCTTTCGTCATATCACTAGTTAATGTATAATGTTTTTAAGTTCTTGTGTTCATATTTTGCATTGTTCATATTGTATTTTATTCAGTACTTTTTACTTGCGACAATAACGGCGCGCTAGGACTAATAAATTTTCAGTATTGAGAATGCTTTCTCTCCTGCTACTCACTAAAACTGTAACAATGAAATTATATAGTTTTATCATGTTTGGGAATTATTTTTCTCTTGTCGTTTGAAATTTCATACTGAAATATTGATTTTCCAATGTCAGTTGAAATTATTTTGAAAGGTTTTTAGAGGGTTAGTCTTTAGTCTCTCTACGCGTATAGATAGTCCAAGGTGTAAACAGTTTACTTACCATTTGTACTGGAGAAATGACTTCCAGAACACCTAATTAAAAATGTGATAGTGATTCTTCACAATAATTTAGCTTCATTCTTTTGATTTTATATCAAATCTTCATGTTGAGAGGGTTTCCCGTTGCGCAATACAAATAAATACGGACAGTACAACACTCAGTTTTCTATAAAACGCAATTATTAAAAAAGACGACACAAAATTAATCATAATATCATGCGCATTAAGTGATTCTTTATCATAAACTACATCCTGAATATGGAAAAATAGAGAGAACGAAACAGTTTCTCGATATTATTTCTAAGCATGTTAGGATTAATTTAGGGCAGATTTCTTAGTTTTGCATAACGTATCCAAGACAAAATTACATATTAATTCATCACGATTTGGTGTATAACAACCTTATTCTTGTTATTCTTAATCCAATTCGTAAAGATATATTCCAAGTGAATTAAAAATAAACAAGTATAGAATGTAATTTGTAGCAGTAGCTCGTTTACTTTTTTCATGCAGAAAATATTTACTTACAGATGATTAGAACCACCAAACTACTGATAATCTTGAACCCTTTTACCGCTGGCCTACTTATAATTGTTTCAATTCGAAAAAGTAAGGTCGATTAAATGTATTCGGTCCTACTTTCTTACTTATCGAAACAGGTTGAGATACTTTTAATTATTTTATATATAACGCTCATTTAACTGATCAAATAATAGGAGGGTATTAATCACGAACAAATTGTAGCTTTACGCAAGTGTTATGAACTGTTTTGTTATAAGATGAAATAAAATATAGAATATAAAGTTCATGATACGGTAATTGTGCACGAGATAATAAGCCTGACTAATTTTAATATAGCGTATCGCAGCCTCTGAATATTAAATATTTGCTACTACAAACGAATTAGGGAAAAAAATCTAATAATAATAAGCTTTACCGAAGTGAGGCGAGGTGTCTATCATTTTATCATCGAACACTGTATCCGTAAACAAAAGGTGTTGGACATGAGTATTGAAGTTAATAGATTTTATCATGGTATATTCAAAATATATATTTGCGAGAAAAACATTCATTATACAACATGTATATGAATCGTGCTGATCATTGTTACATGCATATAAGACTTTACTAATAAATATCATGACAGAAGTTTAAGAATCTGTTTAAGTAATTCTGTACATACATCGGTTCGTGGTACATGCGTTGATTTTTTCAATATTACAATTATGTAGGTACAAATGTCAATGAATTTTCATTCCAGGAATGTCTGTATTACAATATGGTAAGTAACATATTACGAATACGGTAATCTTAATACACTATAATATATACACATTTCTTTTTATACAGGCAGATGTACCAAATATTGTACTTTTCAAAAATATTCAATAATTTACTATTCTTTCGTATTCTTTACCTAAATGTTGTATTCAACGATAATAGCTAACATTATATGCATAAACTACTAGCATACATTAACAATGATATTTCCAAAAATAAATATCTTTTTTTGTATAAACAATAATTAAAAGACTAGCATTAAACTTAATCAATATAAAAATTACCTATCTATATGTAGCTTTGGAATATCACACTTCAAATTTAAAAATTCAAAATTTGTATTACAATCTCTATCTGTAGAATTATCATTATAAATTTGTTTTTTTTTCGTAACAAATAGGGTTCTAAGCTCTATAAAGTGTATGTGTAACACAACTCTTCAAATATCTTTGCCTTGCATGTTCGTAGTCTCTCCTACGTTGAAACGAGAACAGCCTGAAAACAATAATTTTCAACGTGTTTTTGGTAATACTTATGCAAAACATACGTAAGGTAATTAAACTCTAAATTGATAAAAAATAGTTGCTGTCAAACGAATATTACTTTTAAGGAATATTTTTAAATGTAACAGTATGAGAAAATTGTATTCAAGTTAGAGAAATTTACTATATCGTTTAAAATAATCACTAATAAATTTGATCAAATATTTAATAATATTTAATATGTGTTTTAACCTTGTGTATAAATCTTTTACAATACAAAAATAATTATGTAGAAGTATCATTTATTTTTACATATTTCTAAATAAAAAAAAGGCGTGTTATTTTTACAAATTTCGATTTATTTTAGATCATTTATGTCACGCAGTTACTATTTACTGTGCATAGTTATTCATTACTGTATACATGTACAATATCTTTCGAGTGTACGTTTATTGTTGTACAAAAATTATTTTTAAATCTTGAAATATACTTTGAAGGGATGGTAGATTATAGTACAGTAGTGTACAGGTATTATTCGTAATAACAGACATTTATGTACACTGAAGACATTTATGTGAGAGAATATAATGCTCATAGTTCACATGTGAATTTTAAAGTCACAATTCTAGAGACTGTAATGCAGCTTCTTTTGTAGGTACATTGCAAGGCACATAGTTTTTTAACGTTCTTGTAGAAACTTTGAAGTTAAAATTTTACTTTCACAGTAAAACTGAAAAGAAAAATAAATATGAAATACAAAGAAATATAAAAACTAACACAACCGTAATTATGAACTTAAAAGCTGCATAATCAATTCTAGACCACCATTCAACAACCACAAAGGATTTGATTAATACAGGTACACAATAAGCTTCATTTGGTTGTGTTTTAACATAAGTTATTGTTTATAAATGGTATGTACTATAGTAATATATAGTATTCATGAAATGTTCTTCATTTCATCGTGTTGCTCTTGCTTTATATATCTGTTATTATGCATTAGAAACAAAATAATAATTACTATCTGCATGAATGATGCTATCACATGTACATCACTCAATTTATACATTCAAAAATTTCACGTTTAATTCTGCATTGAACATTTATGTCAAATTTTCCGCTTATTCCCACACATACTACATATTAGTATGCATTCAAAAAGTAATTAGAATTATTCACACACGACTCGTTGCATAGAAACTAGAAGAAAAATTAAAATACAATACTTCCACCGTCGTTAAATATGTTATTAACACAGAGTGTTGTTCGGTAAGACACTTATGCTCCTATCTTCTTCATTACATTGTAATGATTTTCTTTTGTGGTAAAACAGACATCTTTCTCAGTGTACAGTACAAACTGATTAACAAAAATGACATCTGCATTCCAGTAAATTGGTATTTCAATATTGAATTATACAAGTTTTCAATATAAGAAAACTATTCATTAATAAATATGCAATATACATTTTGCAATACTTGATAAATAAATTGTAGTACATGTACATAAATACAGGATACTTGAATAAACTGAGATGTATAACTTTCGTTTAGGATGTACTTCTTTCGACTTGTTGTTGTACAATTTACACAACAAAAAATTTGTCTTAAGACATCATTTTGCACCTGTAAAAGGAGTGCTGAATTATGCCGATCGTATGTTTAAACGTTGAATAAAAATTGTGCTCTGTGAGATAGACGATGAAACACTTTACAGTACTTTATGTTTCTTGTTACAATTATACCAAAATACTAGAGGTTGGTAAAATATTATGCACATTTGACTACGCAAAGTTTTAAGCACTTAGTTCACATAATTATACATTCTGCTTATAAATTACTTACTATTTATAGTAATAAAAAAAAAACGAAAATTGAACAAATTACTGTGAATTCTTATAATGTTTTAAGTTCAGTACATGTTCTGTTTTTTAAGAGTACTTACAAGATTTGCAAGATTCAGATCAGATTTATGTTTTTACACAAGTAAAAATATTAGAAAAAATTATTTGAAATTCAGTCTGTTATGACTGTAAAAAAACATATTCTTTTTTATTTCATGAAAATCTATTCTCTATTGTATTATAGCATTTGAAATTCACAGTTTACAATATGCAGTGTAGAAATTAGAAAACAAATTTATTTTGTATATTATGCTGAAAAGATTAACCAATCAGAACACGACTGATTTACCTTGATTAAGTAACAATAAAACACATTACTTACAGTCTTAGATTAATGGCAGAAAATCAGTCAACAGGAGATTTATGCAATCTTCTAATTACAAACACAAAGTATGCTTTTGTAATACATTTTTCTTTAAATGTACACTTGAGAACGAATGAAATAAAAAATTTTTAACGAATCACAAACTGAAAAGCATATTTTAATGGAAGTATAAAATATTGGTCTCAGCTTTTATAATTGCACACTTTACGTATCTTGAACAGCGTATTATGGAACTATTATACACGATACCTCGCAATAAGTGATACAATGAGGTGGAAACAGAATCGAATTTGGCAATTCGAATAAATTTGAAAACGAATTACATTTTACGTTCAATTCGTTCATACACTTAGAATACCTCTACCTGAATATAATAATGAATAATAAATTACATCACTTATAGCTCGACAATAAATGCTTTACAGAGATTTCAAATGACAACATATTACAGTATTGCCTAAGCTGCACAATAAACTTGTGAATTGCATGTAACATTCTTAAGAGTACATTAAAACTACAGTTACGCGAAATTATACACACAGAATGTAACGTTGTAAGTCTACATATAACTTTAAAAAAAAAAAGATATGTTAATTATTTAACAGTAAACTTTGTACTAAATTTCTAGATTTCTATTATAAATATACTCACCTTAATGACAAATTTTTAGAAATTGATTGTAAAATAAAAATCTAAAAAACGAGAACAGAATTTTTAAATGAAACCGTTCAACTAGTTCGCAAAATACACCCTATTCGAGCTGAAGAAAATTAATGTTTATCTTTTCACCTCAATAGTATGTATGCATGAGAAACAATAATACAACAATCTACAATAATTCTTTTTTGCATGCAGAATTTACCAAGTTATAGAAATCAGTACTAGCAATACTACAAATATAGTGCCAATATTTCCCATTTTGTAATGCATAATTATATAAAATTTATTATTATATACTTGAATGCAATATGCTGCCTTCTGCGACTGATTTTCTGGTAGTTTCTCTTTCTATGCTAAGTACTAACTTAGTATATCATAAATTAATAAAATTTAATTAATCCGTACCAAAGTATTTCTGTCCAAAATGATTTGGGGCTACACTATGAATCTCCGACGTCAAAATCTTCATCTGTAAAAGGGAATTTAATTTCATACAAAACATTGGCATCTGTTTCCAACTTATAAATGTTACTTAATTTACAAACTGCTTACTTCTGTCCTGCTATGATAGTACTACATATATAATAATTTGATTAATACAATCCATAAAATTTCCGGAACGTTACAAATTATCCGATAAAGTGAAAAACTTAAAATGATATGCTTGTTGGAACACAGAAATTGAAAAGCAATGCAACATTAAGGAAACAAATAGATGATATAATATTATTAGCATAACAAGAAGTGGCCGTTAACCCGGCAGCACACACGGTGGGGATCCATGGAACCCTCACCGCTCAGATATCTTATCTGCTTCTCATATTTCTTTAGCTATTGTTTTGTCGCTCAATGTCAGTCCAGCTTCTTAACACGTTTGCTAAGTACGTCGCGGATCCGCGTCGCGCTCACATATTTTGTTTACGTGCACTGCCAGAATAGCAGCACCCTGCGAAAGTTCACGATTCTCAGTACACAGCGAACGTGTTAATACGTTGTTAACATTCAGTACATTAGTTTCGATTACGATTTCTTCAGAGCTACATCGAATGTTCGTATATTTGCACAGTGCTGTCAGTTCATTCTTGTGTTTTATACTTTAGTCCCTATTGTATTTTCCTTATATTATTTTGGTAAGAATTTCTTTTATATTGGACTGTGTGAGATGTTTATTTTTCTTCTATAAGAATTTTAAAATTGTGTCCTACTGTTACGTATTGTCTGAAGAAAATTAGTAATTGTCTGATAATTAGATTACAAGTTGTTTAAATGTATTAATATTATTCCATGGATTCCATACAGGGTGTCCCAGATTTTAACGGCTAAACATTGTCAGTATATTATATGGGTCTAATAAGAAAAAAATATTATGTACACATAGGTCGTTTAAAGCTGTAAAACAGTTATAACAAAAAAAAAATACGAAGGGAACCGTAACGAACTTCGGGTTACTGCGATACAAAGTAAGAATGCATCAGAAATACTTATGTTGATACTCCCTCACAGGTGCACGGGCATTCCCATTGAAGAAGCCGAAAAAGAATTACATATCATCTGCATACTCTTGATGCGTTAATAATTACGGCATTTTGGTATGAAGTTCAAGAACTTAATAATGGTACTGGCAGAAATTACCTTCAAAATCTTAGATGATCTCAGACAGTAAACAGAGGTCTCATAAACAGACTTAAAAAAAAAACATACTAATGTATTTCTACATTATGTTGCAGAAGTCGCAATATATATATATATAACATTTTTTTCTTATTTAGACCCATAAAATACATTGACAAAGTTTGCGCGTTGAAATCTGGAACACCTTGTATTCCTTGTGTACATATTGCTAATATTTTAATAACGTAACATAAAACATACAGATATCCATATGTTGTTGGTAATTAATGTTAGTTTTTAAATGATGGTCTGTGAGTACCCCACATGGGAGCATGTTTCAGAAGTCCATGTGTGTGCTACCGGGTTAATTGTTTCTTATAGCATGACTGTTTCTCTTTGAATGATATATGTAAATTAAATTTTCTTAATTAATTAAATATTCAACAAAGAATTTTGTATACCTATCTCTCATTATTACATTTCTCTAAATTGTATTAAAGCCTACAAAAACGACTCTACGTGTTGTGCAAGAAAAAAGGAGTTATGTAGAAAGTATAAAACACTTATGCAAATTGCTTATCTGTGTGGCATACATAGACACTTTACCTGAGGAAATGCAGTGACTAGACATCTGGCTGCAATTGGTGTACAAAACAAATTTGACAAGATAATATTTTCTTCAAGTACATTATGTTCCTTTAGAACAGCTATCGCTTTTATCACTGTATTCCCAGTGCCTTGAATTTAAAAATTACAATTTTGCAACACACAGTTGAAGAAAGTACAGTCGACAAGAATAATATTTTGCATGCTTATACCCTTGTGATTATCTTCTACTTACTCATTATAGGATACATTAACAACACTTTTCTCCCAGATATATCATCTGGAAACTTTGCGTATACTACTCTAGCTTCATGCGTGTCTACATCACTCTCGACTAATATTTTTCCAATTCTTATGCTGCGACAACAATCCCTTAAACCCTAAACAATGTAATTAATGGGAATTACTAATAGTAACTGCTAATATAAAGTATTAAATTTGTTTAATCTTAAGAAAAGAAATTCGTTAACCCTTGCATGACGGACTTTAAAAATTGGTTCTGTTCAAAATATTGTACTACATTGAATTAATTTATTGCTAATTCACTTGTAAATGTAAGACAACCACAGAGTTCTCGCAGTGAACGTAAACAGTTAAAACACGAGCAGAGTCAAGTAACATTGCCACATGGGTCTATTCTGTCCCAGTCATCGTCATGCGAAGGTCAATTATGTAATTGCATAACTCTCTAAATTAGAAAAATCACATTGCTTATAAAAGGACCCAATATTTAATACCTGTTCCATAGCTTCTCCACTTCTTACTATGGATACTCCACAATTTCCTTTCTGATACTTCAAGCCCTTGTACTTGGCTCCTGTTGGAGTAGTCACCACGCATTTGGAAAATGGTAGTTGATTTAAGCTTTCTTCTATAACCAGCCTTATCTAAACAATGAAATACAAAACTATAGTATTCTAATTTTATAAATTACCAGGGAAATGTAGTTCTACTTTAAAATGGTAATTTATCAGTACCAAATGTAGCATGATAATCTTATTATCTATATATATGGCTTTTTTGATAGCTCATAGATAAAGCTTTCCAAAGAATATGAAAAATATATTTAAATATAATTAATTACATAAGGGAATAGGCATTAAGGATTGATAAAACAATCCAGAAGACGAATTTTTGAAGATACTCTACACCTCATTAAAAGAATATTATTGTCATGAAATAAGAAGCTTCTGCATCAGACACAATTTAATAAGTTGTAACGTATATTGGAAGTACATGACAACGTGTCAAAAGAATTTTATTAAATAAATCAAATTCACCAGTCGGTCAGCATAGAATTTGAAGTCACTCCTGGTGGTGTTTCTGTAAACGGAAACGCATTGTGTTTATTAATTTGTTTAATCGGAATCGAGAAGAAACAAGCCACCGGCATCGTATCGGCCTGTCTACGACTACATATAAAAAAAAGCACGTTCTACACACAAAACCGAATAACCTCCCGTGGTTCCTTTACGTACTTGTCTCGCAATATAGTCTGCAGCTCTTTCACTTGATTGTTACACGGAAGGATCTTTAAATTTGGCCCGTACACATCACTAATTTCATTACTGTCGTTCGATTTTTTCGTGACAGACGTTACCTCCGTGCTACCCATGTCGGCTTCTTCACGTGCGTACACTACTTCCGCCGCGGAAGTTCCGCGAATGTGCGCGAATGTTAGTCGAGAGATACGGCGCACACGCACAGAATCAGTAAGTACAGCTTCCATTAACTTGTCAGTTACCAGAGATTTCGATTCGTAGAAATTAGAAACGAGGACGAGCAAGAACCAACCAAACTCAAGAGTTACATGAACAACAATAATAAAGACCATGATTCAAGCGCATGTTGATTCAATCATTTCACTACCGTCCACTCCCCCGTCACCTGCAGGTAACAATAATAGATTGAATGTGGTCAAGGGATACTGCAATTTATTATGCACATTTATCGTATGCAGCCGAAGCTTTGAAAATCGTACGGAACATCTACCAACTTCAGAAGTGGAACTTTTCTGCGACGGATAAATTACACTAAGTCTGAATAATATTTAAGCCGTGTTTTACTGTATATATTATAATAAATATATTGTAAAATCGAGTACATAAGTAGTATTTAAGACAATTATTGTTAACTTTATACAAAGACAACTGTAAATTGTACATTTTCTAACCATTTTTTCAATAATAAACAGTTGAATGTTACATAAGCGTTGTTTACTAAGGCTATCACTTCCTCTATCCCATATTTTTCATTAATAAAGCAATAATAATTGCTAAATACAGTTAAAATCGCGTTAAAAATAAGATTAATGTTAAATTTGGCACGAAATTTGAATTGAAAAAAGCGCGGAAAAAGTGGAAGCGTAGGAAAACAAATTCTAAAACTTTTAAGCAGCGCCATCTGGTGGCGACTTTGCGAACTATCGAAAGTTCTGAATTTAGTTCCAATTTCCGCCACCAAGTGATGGGGGCGCAACTAGTATGTCCCATAAATCCCAATTTTTCCCGCGCAATATTTGTATAGATTCAATAAAAGTGCCCTAAGATACTTATGTTACTTTAATTCAACTTATTTATATAATTGTACAATATAATTGTAATGATATTTATATAAATTCAGAAAAAGTAGGCTTAGATATTATTCAGGCTTATAAAATATTGTAACTTATATGCCGCAAATAATTCCCTCCCCTGTAACTTGCAAATCTTCCGTACCGTCTTCAAAGCTTCATAAAGGTTTCATAAGTTTGTCGCCGAAATTTTGATTACCGGTGGCATATGATAGACGTGTGTAATAATTTGCAGTAGTCCTCTGCCGGATTCAATCAGTTATTATTACATGTGGATTACGGGACAATGAACGGTAGTGAAATGGCTTGCGTCAGTACACGTTTGAAAAGTGATCCTTTATCGCTGTTGCTCGTACAACTCTCGAGCTCGGTCGAATGTTGCATTGAACTTGCATTGAAAAGATAAAATGTGGCCGTAAAGTAGAGTGATCAACTGATCTTTACCAGCTACTTTGTTGTATGCATGTTCCAATTTGTAAAAATCATCTATCGTGTAACTTGTTAAAAGTTAAAAGAACACATGGTGCGGCGGGCCGCTAGCAAATCAATGGAGGGCCGCGGTCTGTGCATCCCTGCACTACACCAACGACCCTTTTGAAGTTCGAGGAAATATTTGACGATATATTGAGTGCGGCACGGTTTTAATTGAGTTAATTCGACTTCTACAATTTATATACTGTTTTACTGGATATGGAAATATTTACAATCGCGTAATATATTTATATAATCCTTTAACGCCCAGACTCTTAACCCGTTATTTCAAAGTTATGAGACTGATATATCAATAATATTATATACATATATATGTTGTATCTTGTTATTTTTAAGTCCAAACACCAATACCTACTTCTTAATTTTTTTTCCATGCTCAAAAAAGTTAGATATTAATCGGCAACAGAATTGGACGCAATTTTAGAATCAATGTTGAACCGGTGCAACACTAGGCGTTAAAGGATTAATAAAAGAAGTATAAACATGTGAAATACCTGTAACTTCTTTCTTCACAGAAAAAACGTCAAAACCATCGGTCTTTGATTTTGAAAACTACAGCAAACCCTATAAAAAAATCTTCACAAAATTGAAGACATTACGTATGATAGTATGTCGTTACTGTGAACGGATACATATTGTGCTGGTAGAACTTCGATGAGAAAAAATCTATTCCCAACACTTTTATTTTTTTAATTTTTAAATAATATAAAAGAATATATCTATACCAAACAGATATGTCCCACCTTTTGTGCAGAAATAATTCAATGTAATATATTGTTCGATGTTCACTTACATATGTATATGTAAACTTTTAAACTAATAAATCTGTGTATGTAAAGTATCAATGACAATTATCGTTAGTATTATTATTAAAATATGGAAAGACGAAATCAGTGTCCTTGAGATTCTGTTCCATCCACTGATTAGCTTTGGCATCAAGATCTGGGGTAAACATATCCCTCCAACCACCACTTTGACCTCTCCTAACAAATGTTTCTGCTGTCATAATGCCACACTCTTTAAATAGAATTCACCATTGGATTGTTTTTGAAGTTTTTGATATTTAAATAATCAGTTACGTGTCCAATCTGTTCCTCCGTATAATTCTTCCCGAGAAATTTGGCGACTTTCTTAACAGCTTTTGGAAAATCCTAGAAATGAAACAATAATGAGGATCCCCTCCAAAGAGTCTTAAATACACTTGAAACGTTAACTTGACTAACGTGCTGCATTTCTTCGTAGAACATAAATAGAAGATTTGGATGATCTCTGAGGACCCATGCTTCCTTCAAATGTTCCCAGTAAGGGCTCCAGAGTGCTAAAAATGTTAAATGTTACATTCGCTACTTGTTAGATAACAATAATTTGTATCCGACTTGTACAATACTTACTAAGATCATTTTGAAAATAATTCCAAAACATTGCAAAATCACCCAAGTATCCTTGTGTTATATAATCTTTACTCAAATAGTACCACGAAACGGCAACATCTTTTGGATTTCGCGCCACATAGACCACCTTAATCATAGAAAAAGACTCAAATAATGGTTACACGAAAGTAGAATAAATAATTATATTCGATTCCGTAAATCTTTGTAAATACCTTACAACCGCTGTCCAGAATTCCGGGTAATAAACTGAACGGAAAATGGGTTTTAATGAATCTAGGAGATGGTATGTTTGCTAGGACCTCATATCCTGGCTTGGCAAAACTGTTGCACATATCTGTCCTATCTTTGTTTCCTATATTCATCTCCAAAAGTTCGAGTGTTACTTCCGGGTGAAGTATAATACTAAGCCTAAACACAAATTCATGTTTTTTGTCGTGATAGTAAACAAAAGTACAAACTGCGTAAACTTATTCATGTCGCGAAATATGCTTTTTTTTTAAATTTCTGACGAATGAACTTAAGTTCCACGTTTTTCTTCGCATATGTTCAATTTTCTGAGGCTTTCGGTTGCACCGTTATTTTATGAAACGCTATTTTAACCCACTAGCCAAAGACTTGGGGTCACGGAGGGAATAGCGACGATAATCAATCTTTCGTCACGTTAATTAAGAAGACATTTGTCTCTACGTAATGCGATAAATATGATCATAAAGCACACGAAAATAATCTTCATGAATTATGGAACGTTATGATTAATGGAACGTTACTAAATACTTTTAAATGTATACGAACTCGAGAAATGGAAATCGTTCTATAAGTAGCTTCTTTCTGGCCGTTTCGAAATCTAAATTGTTCGATAAAAGCCAAACCAATTCTTGGGTCCATGTTGTGCCTGAAAATGAAAACATTCCTAAAATGTTTTATACTTTTCCGTATTTTATTTTTGTATTTTTATGATCTGAAAACCATAAAATTGTAGGTATGTATCGATTGAATAATATTGAAGCGGCGAGCGGCCAAGATCCCGTGGGTAAGGATTTCTGGACCGTCGGAAGTGGGGATAGTCAGAGCATGCGCACACGTTTTCTTGCCTCTACCTCGTCAGGCTTGTGCTCTGAAAGAGCTAGTCGGTAGGGGCGCGATTCGATTTGGACCAGCGGGCCAAATGTTGAACAGGCATGTTTTACATTAATCATTATTGCAACATACATATTGCGATAATTTAAAACATTAGAAAAATGGTCGGTTGAAAACTCGAAAATTCATAAATTCGAAAGGTAGCAAATTTGGAAATATGATTACTAGAAAGTTATGATTTATAACACAGATAAAATGTATTACAAAATACGGAGCACTTACCAGACCTCGGATAAGACACGACCCACGTGTCGTCTGGTCTTGCCTCAAAATTATAAAATCCTTTACTCTGTTCGGTGTATCTGTACGGAAGGAACCATTTTTTAGGGCCAACGAGTACCCAACCAGTTCTCTCGCCCGTGAATTCTTGCAGCAGCTCCTTGGTCTTTTTCTCGTTCAGAAGTTCGTACTTCGGTGGTTCCTGAGCCATCGTGGTACGGATGATATTTCTCTGCGCGAAGAACTTGTTATCGGGTCCGGAGATACGAACACACTGATTATTAGTGTGAGGGACCGCACGGCACTTACCCCAGAATCTATGAGAAATACAGATCTCAAATAAAAATCGAAGCATCAATACAAAGTTTCTAACACAAACATTTAAAATTTTTATATTTCCATTATTAAGTAAGTATATTATACGATTATAAATATTTTATATAAATTGTAGAAGTCGAATTATTTCAATTTAAACCGTCTTGTACTTATTATGTAATATGTAGTGAATGTAATAATATAAATCTTAATGTAACCTGCGGGGCTCCAATCGCGTTCGAAAAACTTCTCACCGGTTCCGTACTCGGAACGCTTAGCCACTTTGAACCAACGACCCTTTTGAAGTTCGCGGATATATTTTACGATATATTGAGTGCGGCACGATTTTATTTGAGTTAATTCGACTTCTACAATTTATATATTGTTTTACTGGATACTAAACATTTTAATCTCATTCGATACGAATACCTTTGTTAGATACCTACGATCGGATCCGCAGGTATCGATACCAAAAATACTCGCTATCGAAACAAAAGTATCGAGTAATGTACTCGTATTTACTTGTACCGATTCATCCATACATATACTCCTCTCGTTGGTCCCTCAACTCTGTTTCACTCTGTTTCCACTTTCTTTTGTGCCTCCCTTTCCTCTGCGCTTTTTCCTCCACCCTCTGCGATATGCGAGCAAGAGAGTGTTACTCCGGCTCTACTTCTGTTCTTCGGTCTCGACTTCAGCTCTACCATAAGACCGCGCAGTCTATTATATATGTCTATGGCCAGGCCTGGTTAAACTAAACGCACTAAACGCAACGTAAAAGCGGTAGAAGCTGGTAAAAGTTAATGTTGAATAATGTTGAAACAAAAGAGATAGACTGAATCAAAATTCTATCCAGTTCTATTGATCATTTTGTGATGCACATAATATATACCATTCTGGTGTAATATATCATTGAGGAACATAACTGTCCGCATGTATACACAAATATAATGCTTATTGTAACATAACCTACAGGAGTATTTATAAAAATACACACGAAAGTATCGATAATTTGATGAAGGGATTTCTGGATATTGCAAACAATGTTGATTACAATAGGAAGGTGTGCGCTTCGAATTGAAAAACAACTATACAAACGTTGTTACTTTTCTTCTACCGTGCTGAATACTCAGAACAATGATGATTTTATATTACAATGTGATGATAATGTAACACTACGTCGTGAGGATCCAAAATTCTTGAAGGTCGCTATTTTAGGTTTACCAAATGTTGGAAAGAGTACTCTTGTGAATACTCTTGTACGTCGCAATGTACGTATTCTGAAGTATATTCTTTTATTTATGTGTAAGAATAAGTTGCTAGAGTTGATCTTACACAGCCAATAATACTAATGAGTAGACTAAACGTTTATGCAAACAGATGTATATGGACTAATGTATAAAAACTAGAGCAACAAGCAATTCATTTCTAATCTAATCCAGATCGGCATCAGTACTCAATCTGAATTGACTATATCTATTTTTAGTAGTATTTATTATTCTGTCAGTATTATTGATCATATAAGATCTACTTTACAAGTGAATATAAAAAAATTAAAAATTTTATCCATACATGAGCCCATACTTTCATATTTTAATGTTCAAACAGTTTATATTAAAAGAATGTTTCTATACCAAACAGATATGTCCCACATCTTTAAAAGTTCATACAACACAGCATAAGGCTGAAGCAGTGTATTTGGAAGGTGATACACAAATTGTATTCGTAGACACTCCTGGGTTAGTAACAAATCATGAGCTGAAGAAGTACAAATTAATGGCATCTTATAAGCAAGATCCAGAAGTATCAGCATCTGAAGCAGACATTATAGGAGTAGTACAAGATGTTACCAATGTATATACTAGGTATAAAATCAGTGATTTTGTCATTGATTATTTAAAACAGAAGAAAGAGGACACGCCTCTACTATTGATTTTGAATAAAGTCGATAAACTTAAACAAAAACAGGTCTTATTAGAATTGATAAACAAGCTTACAAGTAATGCAGATTATCCAAAGTTTGATGATATTTTCATGGTATCCGCCCTCAGTGGAGATGGTGTAAATGATTTAAGGGTAAGATATAATTCAAACAATATTAGAATGAAAGTAGTACAAATATTATAATGTCTGCATTCAAACATATATTTCAGACTTATCTGTGCGATTGTGCTAAAGCAAAGGATTGGCAGTATGATCAGAACTTGTGTACAGATCAGTCAATTGATACTATAGTGGTAGAAACAGTAAGAGCTAAATTATTGGATCTCCTTCAAGACGAGGTACCATACAATATACAAATAAGGCTAGAACATTTAGATATTGGAGAAGATGGCACTATGAATATTTTAGTGTCACTAAACTGTGATAAAAGACGTTACCAAGGGATTTTATTAAGAAAAGATGGGCAAATGGTAAAACTGGTATCACAGTTAACAGAAAAGGAATTACAGCATGCCTTTAGGACTAATGTAGTGATACGTCTGAGTGTAATATGTGCAAAGGAAAAATCTGATAAATAAATAATTTAAACTAATAAGTCCGTGTATGTAAAATATCAATGACAATTATTGTTAGTATTATTATTAAAATATGGAAAGACGAAATCAGTGTCCTTGAGATTCTGTTCCATCCACTCATTGGCTTTGGCATCAAGATCTGGGGTAAACATGTCCCTCCAACCACCACTTTGACCTCTCCTAACAAATGTTCCTGCTGTCATAATGCCACACTCTTTAAATCAGTTACGTGTCCAATCTGTTCCTCCGTATAATTCTTCCCGAGAAATTTGGCGACCTTCTTAACAGCTTTTGGAAAATCCTAAAAATGAAACAATAATGAGGATCCCCTCCAAAGAGTCTTAAATATACTTGAAACGTTAACTTGACTAACGTGCTGCATTTCTTCGTAGAACATAAATAGTACATTTGGATGATCTCTGAGGGCCCATGCTTCCTTTAAATGTTCCCAGTAAGGGCTCCAGGATGCTAAAAATGTTAAATGTTACATCTGCTACGTGTTACATAACAATAATTTGTTTCCGACTTGAACAATACATACTAAGATCATTTTGAAAATAATTCCAAAACATTGCAAAATCACCCAAGTATCCTTGTGTTTTAATTCCTTTACTCCAATAGTACCACGAAACGGCAACATCTTTTGGATTTCGCGCCACATAGACCACCTTAATCATAGAAAAAGACTCAAATAATGGTTACGCGAAAGTAGACTAAATAATTATATTCGATTCCGAAAATCTTTGTAAATACCTTACAGCCGCTGTCCAGAATTTCGGGTAATAAACTGAACGGAAAATGGGATTTAATGAATCTAGGAGATGGTATGTTTGTTAGGACCTCGTATCCTGGCTTGGCAAAACTGCTGCACATATCTGTCTTATCTTTGTTTCCTGTATTCATCTCCAAAAATTCGAGTGTTACTTCCGGGTGATTGAACATACTAAACCTAAACACAAATTCATATTTTTTGTCGTGATAGTAAACAAAAGTACAAACTGCGTCAACTTATTCATGTCGCGAAATGTGCTTTTTTTTTTCATTTCTGACGAATAAACTTAAGTTCCACGTTTTTCTTCGCATATGTTCAATTTTCTGAGGCTTTCGGTTGCACCGTTATTTTATGAAACGCTATTTTAACCCACTAGCCAAAGACTTTTGGGGTCACGGAGGCAATATCGATGACAATAAATCTTCCGTCACGTTAATTAAGAAGACACTTGTCTCTACGTAATGCGATAAATATGATCATAAAGCACACGAAAATAAACTTCATGAATCCGCGATTAATGGAACGTTATAAAATACTTTCAAATGTATACGAACTCGAGAAACGGAAATCGTTCTACAAGCAGCTTCTTCCTGGCCGTTTCGAAATCTAAATTGTTCGATAAAAGCCAAACCAGTTCTTGAGTCCATGTCGTGCCTGAAAATAAGAAAATGCCTAAAATGTTTTATACTTTTCCGTCTTTTATTTTGTATTTTTATGATCTGAAAACCATAATAATGTAGGTATGTATCGATTGAATAATATTGAAGCGGCGAGCGGCCAAGATCCCGTGTGTAAGGATTTCGGGAGCGTCGAAAGTGGGGACAGTCAGAGCATGCGCACACGCTTGCTTGCCTCTATCTCGTCGGGCTTCTTGTGGATATAGAGGAGATCATTGTAGATCATTCCCCTCGGCTGGAAGAGCAAGCCGGTGGGGGCGCGATTCGATTTGGACCAGCGAGCCACATGTTGAACAAATCTGTTTTATTATATTGCGATAATTCAAAATATTAGAAAAATGATCGGTTGAAAACTCGAAAATTCATAAATTCGAAAGGGAGCAAATTTGGAAATATGATTACTAGAATGTTATGATTTATAACACAGATAAAATATATTACAAAATACGGTGCACTTACCAGACCTTGGATAAGACACGACCCACGTGTCGTCTGGTCTTGCCTTAAAATTATAAAAGCCTTCACCCTGCTCGGTGTATCTGTACGGAAAGAACCATTTTTTGGGGCCAACGAGTACCCAACCAGTTCTCTCGCCCGTGAATATTTGCAGCATCTCCTTGGTCTTCTTCTCGTTCAGAAGTTCGTACTTCGGTGGGTCCCGAGCCATCGTGGTACGGATGATACTTCTCTGCGCGAAGAACTTGTTATCGGGTCCGGAGATACGAACACACTGATCTAGAGATTTAATAAAGTACCCTAGTAGCAATTACTGTTACCATTTTGATGGGCCTATGATGCACTATTGGTTGGCCAACAGTTAGAATTGTCACCCTTTTTTGCTACTGGGCCAACAATCATACCCAACGTGGGGCCTACGTGACTATATACTACGAAGAACCAACTGGAGATTTCTTTCTGTAGGGACGATTGTTGAGTATCTATTACAATAAACCAACAATAGGAAGACAATTGGCTATACTACACTTCCATAAAATCATATAACACTGGAATTAATATTTATAATAATTACTTGTTATAATAATTATATACATGTATAAATTGTATATGTACATTAAACAGGTAAACACGTCTTTTACCAGCAAAATTACCTTTACAATTTATTATGTACGATTTATACACATAGCTATATAATTATTACAAATAATTATTATAAGTTATTTCAAATCTTCTATCCCCTGACTCTATTTTTACAAAATGTCAAATATGAAACGTGTTGCACGAGAGTAACAAATCGTGAGTAAACAAAAAAATCAATTTGAAATATAATAACAAGTTTTTGGTTTTAGCAACGTTTCTGATATATTTAAATGTTGGCAAACTTTGGGTGGGCCAATGTTATATTATCAATGTAAATTCTTGTTAATTAACCAACTATAATAATTGTAGGCCCAACACTGGATATTCGTTGGCAAATTGTCATAACTCTGTCGTCGTAGGCCCTATTTTGAGAATTGCTAGGCAAAAACACTAACTATATCCCAACTAACTCACAACTCACGACTGTTGGATACCGTTGGCCAACCATAAATGCTACTAGGGTAGATACGTCCTTCGCTTATCATTGAAAAATATTCTTGCCCGATTTGATTATACTTATTGCATGTTCGAACAATATATTATTTGCTTATCACTGACATTACAGTTTCCGCCAATTAAAACGCGGGAAACAGAACCGTTGCTGTTCGCGTCCGCTTTTAAACTTGTCGAATCGTCAATACGTAACCATACACATAGAATATAACATATTTCTACGTCTATGTATATATATATATATATATATATATATATGCACTTTAGAGGGTAACTTGAATCATGAAGTTTCAGATTCTATCGAACATTTTGCGCGATCTCGTAATATTATGTTGTAAGCACTTTGAATTCGATAAACAAATTATTTAGTCTTGATAGTTACTTTTGCAAACTTACCAGGAAACGGTTATAAGGATTTTTTAAGAAGTAGCTCCATCGATCAAGACGAACGGTGTACACACGCCATGGCAAAGTAAGTAACTGCCAGAAGAAACGGTCGGAAATTTAAAGATGACCGGCAGGTATTCAGGTCAACGGGAACTTTCACCAAACTCAGTTGTCCCGTTTCTTTTTCTATTATCGTGTCATTCACTTGCCAAGGGCTGGATATATACAATAAACATACAGACATAAATTTGGAAGTTACAAAAAGAATGTTTAAAATTGTAGGCTTATAATTGAGCCAAAACTGACATCAGGCTTACTACAGACAAGATATCTAATATTCACGCGGGATATACGTCGACTGTGATGCGTATATTATTTCGGACAGTCAAATACGTTTTAAATAACCTAAACATACTGCTGGAAAATCGTTGTATTTTTCACATCCAGTTTATATATTGACCCGAACTTGCGTACATATCATGGCCGTACCAGGTGTTTGGGTCCTTCAAGAAAAATTTATTCGACAAAAACAATTCAACAGGCGATAAATATATACATATCTATAGGTCTCTGTCATCATTGCTGTGGATATTGAATGCCAGATTGAATTTGCTAAATTGCTGCGACGACCTTTCGAAGACTTTAGGAAGTTTCGAAGATTATGCGGCAAATTGCCAAACATAGACGAGGGACTTACATTTGAAATAATATTTAAGCCTATTTTTATTGAATTCTTTACATGTATTGTTGTAAATTGTGTCTTTTCTCATAATTATTTAAATAAAAAAACAATAAAGTGGTAACTATGTGTTGTTTATTAATCTTATCACTACCTTTTTTTTAGTCCAGTATTTATTATTATTGTTATTATGATTGTGACTAGTTGTTAGTGATGTGATAAGCACCTTAAACCCTAGTAACATGATTCATCAACACATCCTGTTGGCACAACTGCGAGGCAATGAACTCCTAATTGAATTATCAAAATCGAACGAGTGAAGCGAATGAATAGGAAGATTTAATTTAAATACATACAAAGCCAAACGGGTTTGATCGTTCTTTTTAAATGTCAAGTCGAGCACACAGCTTCGTGTTCCATTCAGGAAACATTGGCAATGCGTGATTCCCTGTTTAACATTCGTGACTAATTCCGTAGGTGTGGTGCGATTAAATACTTACACATTTGTTAACGATCGTCTCGTAGCTACTTTCATTCGCTAAACAGTTATTTGACATATGCCAGATTTTGTATTACGGGATTAGTGATTGATTGACAGAGTTGGGAAAGGATGTATCGAACGGAAAGCAGTGTCAAGCAGTAATAAATCACGTGAAAATGTGGTGGTAGTGATGCGTTTAAAAGGGAAAAACAACACAAAATCTTTTCACGGCGTCTACAAGGTGCTTTCGCGTATATGTCGTAAGTAGTCTTTACTCCAACATTTATTAATGGAACTGTTCATTTACTATATCTGAACAACATGGCTGTTATATACTTCTAATATATGAAATTAACAAAAATGTTTCAAGATCCTACAAAGTATCATGATTTTGCACAAAATTTTCGAATTGTTGATAATTATATTCGAAAGAATGACCACATCATACTTTCAAGTAGACATTATTTATTATTATTCCCTTACTAGGAACTGCAGATAAAGGACAACTTGATGGTTTCATGGCGGATGGTGCGGTGCCACCAATAAAGAATGGCCATAACTGTAACAATATGGGTTTTGCAACACAAGCAGTAAAACAGACATCCGATGTCTCCAATATTGTTTATGCTGTGGGCCAATATGCTCCAAAAGTATTAAGAAACTTAAATGCCCAAAGACTGAAGAATCAATTCAGTGATGTGGGCTTGGTTGCCGGTGGTAGTGTCATTAGAGCACATAGGTCAGTTCTGGCCGCTGGAAGTGCATATTTCAATGCAATGTTCACTGGAGGTCTGGTGGAGGAACAACAGGAGTTAGTAGAAATTCATTCGTTGTCAGCTAATATTCTTTCCCTCCTGGTGGATTTCATTTACACTGGGAACATTGACATTACCCAGGACAATGTTCAAGAATTATTTGCAGCAGCTGATATGTTAGAATTGGATGAAGTGGTGTTTGGTTGTATTACGTATTTGAAACAACAACTTCATCCTTCTAATGCTCTTGGGATTTACAGGTAAGATTCATAAAATTGGCTGATGACTTATTCAAATATCTAGGTTTATAAATTTTCTGACATTTCTTAAAAAATTGTCTATCAAACAGATTCGCGGAAGCACATAACAGACTAGATCTTTTGGAGACTGCCCTACGCTTTATACAAGTCAATTTTCCTCAAGTATCTCAAGAGGAGGAATTTTTGGACCTGCCAAAAGAACATCTCGTTCATTTTCTCAGTAGTGATTATATTCATATTGATACTGAATTCCAGGTATATTTACTTCTAATACAAAAATAGAACGAGTAAAATGTATAATCTCGATTACTATAAATGTAAGACAAACAGTTCAAACAACTGTTGTGAATGTAACAGGTCTTCCAAGCTGCATACAATTGGATCGTTCACGATATACCAACAAGAAGGTGTTATGTATTCGAAATATTAAGTCACATACGTTTACGGCTGTGTTCATTAGCACGATTGGAACGTGTAATCTTGGAATGCAAAGATGCGAGTCTTATCGTCGCGTTGAGATCTATACAAAAGGATTTAGTGTCGAACAAAGGATGTCTTGTGCCCCTTCATGCGCATCCTAGACTCTGCGCGAAGAAGAATATTTTGGTGATCGGTGGATCGCGGCGCGAACATTCAGCGAACAGCTGGGGCAGAGCTGCTGAAAGTACTTACGAAACGATTGAAAAATACGACATATTCACTGGGTATTCTACTTTCGAATTCTAATTCTCTACTCTATTGTACTGTCGATTATTATACATTATATTAAGAATATAAAGAAAACATTATTATTTATTACAGTTTCGTTCAATTTTTAAGTAGGATTGTGATTATTCTTGTAGCAAGTGGAGTGAAGTAGCGCCCATAGGTATAGGACGAATACTACCAGGAGTGGCACTGTTAGACGGCAAAGTGTATGTCGTTGGTGGGGAACTCGAATCATGTATTATTGCCAATTGCGAATGCTATGATCCACGCGATAACGTTTGGACTTCGATTGCCTGTATGGAAGTACCCAGGTGTGAATTTGGACTGTGTGCCTTGGATAATAGTTTATACGCATTTGGCGGTTGGGTTGGCAACGATATTGGTGGATCGATAGAAATATACGATCCGATAACTAATTCTTGGACACTCGATGAACAACTTCCGGAACCTCGGTTCAGTATGGGAGTAGTTGCTTATGAAGGTCGAATGATTTAATACAAAATGTATCTACATTATATAGTCAGAATATGGTAGATAAATATTTAACTGTTAATTATCTTGTACAGGACTAATATACATCGTAGGTGGTTGTACACTGAATAGTAGACACCGTCAAGATATGATGAGTTATAACCCAGTGACTAGAGAATGGTCTTATTTAGCACCAATGCTCACACCACGTTCACAGATGGGGATCACCATATTAGATGGTTATCTGTACGTTGTTGGTGGCACTAATAAAAATCAAGAGGTTTTGACATCCGTTGAACGATATTCGTTCGAGAAGGTAACCTTCTTTTCCTGAATATTCCCGAAACGAATTCTATCCGTACTATCCTTTCGTCTGCACCCTGTATGCGGTACTCCAATTGAAAGAATAATTTTTACGTTACAGAATAAATGGAACACCGTGGCCCCCATGAATATAGGCAGATCGTATCCCGCGGTTGCAGCAGCCGACAGTCGACTGTACGTGATAGGGGGCGATCAGTCTCAGGAAATCAATTTTTATCGAACACAAATCACAATTTCTACCGTGGAATGTTACGATCCTCATTCGAATAAATGGGACGAGTGTGCTTCGTTGCCAACAAGCAGGGGTGAAGCAGCGGCGATTGTTGCACCCTTTTGATTCAAATTTCCTTTCAATATTAACGTTAAGTGTGTTGAATGGATTTTATATCAACGTATACTCGTGCGCGTTTCTGTTCGCATTCCAGATTGATACTCGAATATCTATTTAAACTTGCATAGTCGTGAACGCGGTATCAAACGAGAAACATGTTTTTTGACTGTCTTCTTTTACGTCGTATATACACATATATCATTGAACGTATATATATATACACACATACACACATTATCGTTCAAAAGTTTGGGATCGATTCTCAATTAACGGGATAAATAGAAACGGATGATATACCCTTTAGTATATTTTAGAAGAATACACATAGCTATATAAAAATAATGATACTAAAAAAATGAAATACTAGATTCATATTACAGTGAATCCTTGATGAGTGTTCAAAAGCTCCTCAGTACGAGCGAGGAGCGATCTCCAGATGTAACGCTGACGTTTTAATGAGGTTTAGCACAGTGATAGAGCTTGGAATTCTGAAGCCAATGATATTTCTTTCAGCCGCGTATGGCCATCAGTTTATGAAATATTTAGTGTTCAGTGCCAAAGAGCCTTCGAACATTCATCGAGGATTTACTGTATACACTATATTATTATTCTTTCATATACCTAAAAAATTACAAGTGATCCCAAGCTTCTGAACAGTACTTGTACAAATTAGAATGTATTTCTTTTATAGATCATGATATTGTAAAGTATTTAGACATCGGTTGCACTTTTATGTTAATTTTTTTTTTAATGAATATAAAATGCAACAGGATTTGAGAGAAGAGAAACCAGTTCCATTGTCCAAAGATTGTACAGTGCTATTTTCTCTCTCCTAAACGCTAAATTATCTACGTGTCTACACTAGTTTTGTAGAAACGGTCGTTATATGTATTTAAAGCGAAAATAGCCGGTTGCAATTCTCAAATATTTTGAAGAAAACTTCTTCGCGTAAAATGATTTCATTATTTGTAGAAATGACTGACAACCTTCACATTCTATAATTATTTACCAAAGTTATTCGACATACAGAAAAAAAAATTAAAAAAAAAATTTTTTTTTTTAATTTTAACACATCACAACACAGACAAAAGAAGAATATTATTTTCATGTAGCCTGTGTATAAAAGAGATTTCATAACCTAGATAACGTAAGCGAGATATGTAATTGTATATTACAATTTCGTGTGCTTGTAATATTTGTCGATTTTGTTTTCTTTTTCATTTTAATCTAACGTATTCGTAAGTTTCATTACTCGATTGCGGATTCTATGCATTTGTAGTATTTTCAACTCTGGAAAAGCTAGTCAAAAAGAACTAATTAAAGTTTTAATAGATTATTTATTGTGCCTTTTATTCGATAAGTTTATTAACACAAAAAAGGAAAAATTCTATGTAATTAATATTTCCCGTTGATTATTTTATAAAAACACGAAGTAGCATAGATATCCGCAGCCTATTCATTGCTTATTCTTTTTGCTGGTGTAGGAAGTAACAAATACTTAAATACTTGTAAATGATATTACGCTTCTAATTGTTTCTTTTTAAACTTGTTAGAAGTACTTGTAAAATCACGAAACCATATGTTACGAAATGGCATATATAGTCTTGGTACGGTATTTTATAATGTATTGATAAGTTTTATTACAGTTAAATTTCACTGCTTTTGAAGATTGTGTCTGGTGCTATGTCGGAATTAAAATTGCAAGAATCATTTTCCTATGCTGTGGAGTTCATGAACAGACTTCATGCTTAAGAATCAAAAACTATGAACCTCGAACCTATTTAGAAAATGAACACAGAAATGCGAAAAGTATGTTTTTCGAGTGTTTCTCATAGAACAAAAGCTGCTCCTGTAAATTCGTATACAGTAATATGCAAGTACTTAGCTTGGACATCATTTTTACAAACTGTACATATTGTATCAATGTGATTCTATAATCGGCTGATCTTTATGTCTTAATAGTTATAACATATTATATCAATTAACAATTCTATGTACTTCTTATACCAAAGTTTCTTTTTATAATGAATCGTTTATATATAGAGAACGATATATAGGCACTACGAAATAAGGCACAGAACAATAGCGGACATTGTGTTTCATTTTGCAGCTTTCATAGTTAAGAATATATAGTCATTTGGACAAACATGAAACATTATTTACATGCTGTGCAGAAATACCATTAAAATCTACAATTTCGGAATGAGTATTCATTAAAATGTATCACCAAGTATAGATTTCATTATATTTGAAGATAATATTTGAATATCATTAGCTTTAATGTGAGAAGAATGTAAATCGTACATTTGTGGAATATTTGTTATGAATATACAGTTTATTCTATTTTAATTATATATTATCATGTAACTTGGTAGTTGTGTTTATTATCTATGAATTTTGCATATAAAATTTAATTCGAGTATATCACACTTGTAACAAATATATTTCTTATTATTGTAATGCTTTATGGATATTTATGTATACGTTACAGAATGTGCTATTAGGTAAATGAACGATACATGCGTGTCAAATATTTTCAATGACATTACGAACTTGAGTTAGAAATTTCTCTCGTTTTTCTCTTTCTGTTCGTTTCAACATATGTGTAAATGGTAATGTCATTCACTTGTTAAGACCGAAACTGAAGGAATTGCATTGAATTCATACTCAATTGAGAATCGTTATGAACACAGTGATATGTATGCGTTTCTATATTTACGCGTATGTGCTTTATGCCGATTTTTTGAAACAATATCTATTTAAAGATGCAGACGATTCACATACAATTTTTATACAAAACAAATTATTATGATCGATCTAAGTATATGAATGTTTCATAGAAGAATGAAATATATTATGTAAAACAAATATGACTGTATTCTCCAATGATACTTAACCATTGTAACATACATGCATAAGTTGAGTCCGTTGACAATTTACACAATTTGCGCTATTAAATATTGAACTCTGTCTTAAAGAATTAAAAATAAATTTTTTGAACATAGAAATCGATGTTGCGAAATAAGTTCTATGTCATTTACGATATGAAACATTTTATTCATATAAGAACTGACACGTATTTCTCCTGAAGTAAGTCTGTAATTAGATTTAATTTTTAATTGAACAAGATTTACGTACAACTTGTTTAAAGAAGTCAAAGAAATAAATAGATTCAAAGATCTACCGTAGCGTCTATTTCATGTGTCACGTAATATACAACTATTCAGCTGATGTTTGTAAACAATAATAAGCGAATTATGCTAATCCTGTCGTGTAGATTATATAAATGTATGATACATATCTTTTACATATAATTAAATTATTACAAAACATAGTCTAGTTCGTATCTAATATACTGATTCTTTGGATCATTCATGATACGAGGATAACCAGCTACGAGAGCATCCTGTCCACCTATATAAAGAGAATTATAAATTTTCCAATATACATCACGTACTTTTCGTGCTGGATGGAATAATCCCTGCAATTTACAAAACAATACAATTCATATAATAAAAATTTATCTTTTCTTCTCCAGCCACTTTCTTCGAGTTCCTGATTGACTTCGTATTAGAAATATTTATGATTTAACCTAACAATTCTACAAGTCACATACCTGTAAAGTGTATTGCAATATTTTAATTGGTCCAAGAGCGACACGTAAACCATCCACAGCATCCATAAATGCTTGTACTAAATGTGGCGATGTTTCAAAAACATTTGGCCATACATGATTCAGTAAATGTATCAATGCATCTTCACACCCGAATCCATAAACACCCAGTGCCATATGTTTAATCGCGGCACAGGCTGTCTGCCTGTGTACTAAATCTCTGTAAAAAGAAAAAAAAAACCAATTTCAATGTGAAATCACTTGGTCATAATTTCCCATTGAAAATAATATATTACTCCTTACCTGTCCATTAGCGCGTCTTCTAACAACGGACTAACAGCATATATGTAATCCTTGCCCATTTCCCCAATGTACTCAAATAAGAAGGATAAAGACTTTAGTACACCGTTCTGCACGTTTAATTCTGGTACTCTATATTCATTCATTAGCGCAGGAAGCACCGTGAATGGACTACAGGTTTCGGCAACAATAGCTATCGCTACTGTAGTACATACACGATTCTGACGTTCTTGTACTTTTAAATTGTTTAACAAAGTTGCTAACACATCGTGAGGTCTGCAGACAAAACACGAATACATGTAAAATATCGTTCAAGCTTGAACAATGTTTCAGAACAGCATATAAATACCCTATCGCTTTTGCAATGTAGCCAAAGGTGTTGACTGTGGCTCTCCTAATTGCTTTCTTGTGAGCTTTCAGCAGTTCCAAAAGTTCGAAACATATTCTCATCCATTCCCTGGCAGATACATATTCAGGCCCTCTATCCGCGATTCTACCTACTAGGTCAATACAGTTTTCTTGTACCTGAAAGAAGATATATTGAAAATGATGTTCATACAGCTGCAAGATACATGAAAAATTTGGATATAATTATTGTACAGAAAACACGAATGACACCAACCTTCTCGTGTCTGTTTTTCAATATAGGAGTAAGTCGCGGCAGCAAATCTTTAATCGGTGGGGTCATTTTTGTCATTCCTATAACATTAACAATAGCTTTCAATGCACCCAAAATGCTACCTAATACTTCGGGGTATTCTTCTCCTAAATATTCATAGAGAACAACGCCCAAGTGACCCATCAGTTTCTCCTGTTACCAAAATACAAACATATTATTAATGTCTAATAGTAATAGCTCTTGTACGTTTGCCCCGGGAGTTCTAGGACACGCTAAATAAAAAATTAGAAGGAAGTTCACCTCCTGGCAAGTCTTCATGACCACTGCAATACGTGAAATCAAATCAGCAGCTTGTTGTCTTACTTTGGCCGATTTATTGTTCAATCTCCACAATATTGTACCGCATATTTGTGGCAGATACGCTTTCACCCTTTTCCCTAATGTGTTCACAATGGTACCGAAACCATTAAGCATAACAACGTCCTGTAATAAGATAAAATCATTCGCAGTCTGTACGTTAATTGCTAAATTCTTACTAAACGAAACATTACAAACCTCTGTTGTCTGTTCCTGGAACGCATATAGTATACCGTCTATGAGCTGTTCTTCCAAACGGGAGTCAACATCCGCTGCCCCCAAATTGCCCATTATTTTTTCAATGGTTTCCATAACCATCTTCCTATATTGTTCATTTTCGTCTTTTAAATCGTCCACCACACGGTTTATGATCTCCGAAGCACCGACTTTGTTTGCGATTTCCACTGTCGTGTCCACGAGCTATAAAGTTGACATTTATTATTGTCACATGCAGGATCATTGTACGTTGCTTAGATATCGAATACATACCTGTCTGTAATTCCTACGATCCAACGCCATACGATGATTCCAGAAATGCTTGAAGAAATGCGGAAGGATTTCATCCTTGATGTATTGTGCTTCCACACCATCTGTTCCACAACATTGTTTCACTACCTGTTACGAATAATTAATCGTAATATATGTAAGTTAATACGTTTGATCGGAAAATCGTTGCTGCCAGTTATAGTTTATTTACCTTCAAAACAATCTTCTTCATTTCTTCGTCAGGAGACTGAAACTCACGTATAAGAATCAACATCACTTCACGAGTATAGTAATTCGCATATTCGGCGTCCATAAGAGGAATTAAATACCCGATGGCTTTCAAGAACGCAGCTAGACCTTTCCCTCTATGCGTGCGAATACCTTTCCACAGTGGTTTCAAAACAGAATCAAAGCTTTCGATACCATATGGCGTCGCTGCTTCAGCCAACGCAGCAATAGCCAGAGCAGTAATAGTACGAACTTTTTGTTGCTCGTCGACTAAACCTGTAATTGTCAATAATATCCATTGAATAACACATCCATATTGTCCACGGTACAATAACAATTTAAGGACTTGTAATAATCGGAATTACCGTGTTCTATAATTTCGACTAAACTCTTCAGATGCGGCAGTATGGCACATCCCATCAGAATAGCGATTTGTTGGACTATTTTGATACCCGTGTGACGAGCTTGCCATGATTTTTTACTACGGCATACGGCCTTTAGGAACGGGAGTAACGAGGGGATGCCCAACGCTGAAGCCACAACAGCGAACGCTCTTGCTGTCGTGTTACGTACGTACTCGTCGATATTGTCGATATCCGGTCTCATTGTAGAGATCATCGTCGCTAATCCGGCGGCTTTCGCCAGATTCGATATTATTTCTCGACCCTCTACACGAGCATAGTAATCTTCGTCGATAAGCAGAGGTTCGATTACGACCAAAATTTTATGTACATAAGGCCTGACCAAGTCATCCAATTTATACAGAATACGGTCAATGACCTTCACCAGAAGATGCCGTTCTTGATCTTCCAGCGTAGGAGACATTAGAAGGGGAAGTATTTGATTAAATAACGGTCCGGCGCCGAATTCCCTTGCCTTGTCAGTGATCTGTCTTAAAGCCGCCTTTCTCATCGGTGGTGTGCCATTTTTAATTTTCAAAAGTAGCTTCATGATCTTCCTCTCTTTCTGTTCCTCGGGGCTAAGCGTCTCCTCGTCCACGTCGACCAGCAATTTATCGAAATACTGTGCGTCCTCCGGCTTCATGAAAGGAAGATTTCCCTTCGGTTGATTGTCTACGAATTTCGCAGTCTTGTCCTCCGTTTGAATGAAGAACCCTTGGGGAGTGCCGGCTATCGGAGTGGGCGTCGCGGTGAGCTTCCTCGCGGGTGTACGTATCGGAATGTAACCCGCCGGTGGCTGCAGAACTTTGTATCCAGGTGGAAACAGGGCATCCAATTCATCGTCCGAAAGGGGTCTGTTTCTCTCGTCGATTTCACGTTCCCAACGATACGCCTGAAGCTGTTCCGGTGTCATAGACATTAAATGGCCGGGCGTTGGCGTAGCCAGTCCCATCGCTTTCGGACCCGTTGGCGTCACTCCGCTGGGTGTTAAAATCGAGGTCTGATGGGGCGTTGTAAGAGGTGTTGCTGGAGTTTGCGGTGTCATCGATCCAGGCGTTTGATTCGACGGCGTTTCGTCCCATCGACTTCGTCGTTTACTAGCGGACGGTGTAGGGGTTTCCTGAATCAAATCACCCGCCACACGATCGGTTCTCGGTGTCTCGGCCCAACCGCTACTGTGCCCAGGTGTCTCTGTAATTTTGTTTTGTTTTTTTAAATACAACATTCTTTAATTTGACTCTTTAACGCGTTGTTAACATGCAACATTTCAATGGGCACACTCACCGCGTTCAGTTTTCGGTGTTTCATCCCAACGATTTCTACGGCTCGAAACTGTTTTCTCATGAGACGGCGTTTCTCTACCGGGAGTGGCTGCACCAGGCGTTGCGTGTCCTGGTGTAGCATCCCACATTCGAGTACTTACGCCTGGTGTTGCACCAGGAGTTTCTCCGCCTTTACCGTGACCAGGTGTTTCGTCCCATCTGATTGCAGCCGGTGTCACCTTTGAATGAAAATTTAAGTAATACGTAATCTAATATTGAATAAAAAGAGATAGATTTCTATAATACATTACATTATTTGGGTGCGTCTGTAGGATCCCACCTTATCACTTTCGTTACATTTCCCCACCACACCAGCGCTGGGTTAAGAATTCCTTATTTACTTACGTCTGCGTTATCCCAGGACGTTGGTGTTGCAGTGGCGCCAGATGCTTTCTTAGGTGTCGGAGCATCGTCCGTTTGATCCCAACGACCTCTCTTTTTCGGTGCCGGTTTCGGTTCACCGTTTGCTTTTAACGTTCCCTCTTTCGCTTTCTCTGCCAATTTCTTTCTTAACTGTAGACAGACGGAAACATAATTGTACGAATGTTTGTATTACTCGACGAAGAACGAACAAGGAAACGCAACGATGAATTCAGACATTACCTCTGTTTCTTCTCCTTTGAGTAACTGTTCCCGCATAATCTCTGTGTACGTTCTCGAACCGATGTCTGGAGTCTTACCACCTGTAATCAAGAATCAGAAGTCACGCAAAGCGCAACCATTAGACAATTGTTCGAAAAATGCTCAAACTTTCAAAAAACTTCCGAACATACCTAGTCATTTTATTATAGTATATTTATCAATAAAATGCCCTTAGAATATTTGGGTATATTCTAAGTAAACTACTGAATTCACTCTCGTGTCCACGTTGCGGTATATCATTAATTCGAACGACAACAAAAGCAGTTCAACGATTACTTAGTTATAGGGACCAGTGGTAAGTAAGAGAATAGATTATGCGTAACAACGGGTTTGAGAGAGCTGCAACAGTAGATGGCATATATCATACGTACGTGATAGTTTGGTGCCATAGGGAGCACTGTCCTGCTCAAGTCTTCCACATCGAAAAATACTTTAGCCATCTAAAAATCAACTCATTCTTGTTATTAATAATATTTGCACACCGACCATTCATACTATTTTCTTTTTTTTTTTTTTTTTTTTTTTTCAATATTTACGTTCTCGCGGAAAAAAAACCTATGATACAATGAGAATTTAAGGACGTGGGTCTGAATGAAAGTATAAAACAAGAAAAAAAACACCAAATCTACGATGAAAAAGACGAGAGAAAATATATCGAAAATTAAAAATGTAACCATGAAAAGTCTCATTGTATCATCTGTAGGACATGAATGTAACGCTGTGACAATTCAATCTCGCTTAACCTTCGACATAGTATCCTCGGTAAGCAGATGATTCCAAATGCGCAGACCGTCACTAAGATTGGAAAAAAATGTACACATTAGTATGTATTTGAAAGAATCGCATTCACTCTCTTCATTCAAGCCAGTTTTTTCTACTTCACATTGCTTCCACAATCTGAGTAAAAAGAAATCTTAAATCTATTAACTACCAATAACTGAGGCAATATCTAAAACAATTCGTTCGTGTAAAACGAAAACAGACCCGATTCGTTCAACAATTCTGAAGCTTGATCGGAATCAGAGCTAACGAAACACTGTAATTTTACGATTTTCCTCGGTTATTATAGCTAGAAATACTACAGCATAACATATTAATATTATACTAAGTCTTTAAAACATTCGTAAAGACATGAAATATTTTCGTTCACAGATTGCAGTTTGTGTAATAAATTATTCTTTCAATTAACAGCAATTCTTGCAAGTGTTGGTGCTTGCTGTAGTATTAACATATTTAATATCTTCGTTTAATATATACATTAGCTTACTTAAATAACATACAGTCTCATATGGGTCTATCTGCAAAGACTTCGATTTGTCAAGAACATACAGAGACGATCAAAGATGTCTAATGATATATGAAATAAAATGCACTATCAATAATTTAAAGTAAAATCTTCACAGCAATTTCACAGATTATCGAGGAAACTAAAAGAATGTGATCTTGGTGAACAAATAAAATTAAATTCTTCATAGATACTTATGCTCTTGTTTTTTGGCAACATTGTGAACTCTACTTTATAAAGATAGAAAGGAAAGGAAATAGTATTATGAAGAGGAATTAAATCATATTGGCATTGAACTAGTAAAGTTTCTGTGTAATACCTTCCTTTTAATTATGTAGCTAATATCATGACCTAACATGAAAAAGTGAACCAAATTTATTCTTGATACATTACACTGACTTTATATTGTACACTGTTCAAAAAAATTCTATTGCATTTTTGTGGGAGTAAAATTAAGCTTTGTTACAATGAAAATTAGGTTAACTTTTTCCTTTAATATACCGCAGTATATTTATGACAAGTGATACGAGTTTATTATCATATAAACTCGATGTGATAAAAGCTTTACTGTGCATATATTTTGTTGCAATATAATCAATATACAATTATACACAACATTTCTCACATTCAAAAGAAGAGTTCCCAAATACTGTACTTCATTGTACCAACATAAGAATTTTTGTGGTTGTAGCTTGTTACATTGCCCCAAAATATCAACAAGGATAATAATATGCAAACACACTTAATATCTAATTACCTGTTCGACTCTTATAATTCTGAACTTAAAAGGAAAAAAAATACCAACCTTCTGCAAACGGATCAACACGTTCGGGAGATATTATCATTCTTCTCCTCTTTTGTCTATATTCATCTTCCCTATCTGCTATGGTGGGTCGTCGTCTATCCGCAAATGGATCGTAATCTTTTTCACTCTGAACATGACAAATATCATCAGTGTCAATATTGTTAAAATTGAGTCGATTAACTTTAATATTATACTTCAGAGAATTACAGTTACATTTACAGCTTTAAAAGTATACAGCTACTAAATACTACCAGAATAGAAAAGCAATCATAACTTGGAAATAGCAAAATAAGACACATATGTTTGCATATGAACTGTTGTAAATTTGTTACCTGAGCAACATCATTGAGCAATGCTGCTGGTGCATTATAACCTGGTCTCTTATTAGTGCTAAATGTGGTAGGTTCATAGTCTTCATCCTGAAAAAATTACACGTCTTAAATGTACCAGGCTGTTATGCTTCCATATACCTAAAAATTTTAAAAGTGATGAACTTACCTCAATTTCATCGTTGGCTGCAATTGATGTGACATACCCTTCATATTTATTATTACTTCCGTCATAGATGTCTTGATCATAAAAACCAGTTTTTCCTAAACCCACTTGATCCTTCTCTGCTGAAGCATTTTGTATCTCTTTCTTCTTTGATTGTATCTCTCTTATTTGCGCTTCGATATCTGTAAATTATTAACGCATGTCAGTGAACAAGAAAATTAACAACGCACAAATGAAGTCGCAAATACTTGTAACTTTTTACAAATTGCCAAAAATATAATGTTAATACACTTAATAATATGACGGAAAGGATAAACAAGCAATCCTAAATTGCTAAAGATTTTGATCGACAACAAACCTTCGTGTGTTCTCGGAATGGAATCCATTGTGCGGCGTTGAAACCTAACAGTAGGTTACTCGGGTCACTACCGAGAATTCCTTGAGAATGTTCACTTAATTCTATTTCGAATATTCGAGGACACTTTTCGTCTTTAGATCATAACAAAATTGCAATACGTGCACAATACATTCGATCAAACGTGAAAATAATAGCAGAGGACCGAATTTCGTTCCGCACCAATTTTTACATTGGTTACGTTATAAGATGGCTCACCACAATTTAGTTCTGAAACATGAAGACAGATCCACATGAAATTATGTTTATACGTCAGCCGAAGGACGGTCAAAATATTGTCCACCTCGCTCAATAATTCGAAAATTCTCAGTGTTATATCGTGCCCTTATTTTTTTTCCAATGGTGTCAGTCTATTCTTTTAAATATTCTCAATGATGTTTTTGATTAATATTTAATTTTCTTAGGCATAATTATCGAATCTTGTCCACTTGACACCAATCACACAAGGGATACATAACATGCACACATCACGGCGCGGGTTATACACCTTCACGCAAAAAAATAGCATAGCTGCGTCATCTAATAAGAAGAAATGAGTACTAAATTACTAATAGTTGAATATTTTGCCGACACATGCACACATCACGGCGCGGGTTATACACCTTCACGCAAAAAAATAACATAGCTGCGTCATCTAATAAGAAGAAATGAGTACTAAATTACTAATAGTTGAATATTTTGCCGTAGATGACAGCGCATGTATATTTTCGAGTACGTTTTGGCGGTAGAATGGAATCTGTTAACACAATTATGTTGAGGGTTGATTTTATTACTTCTTGTATTTTATTATGCATTGTTTGATCGTACAGAGAATCCCAGAATTGATTCAATATGCATGATAATCCATACTCTGACGGAGAGTCATACAATCGACCTCGTCGATCTTTAAAGTATTCGTTTTAATGTTGATATCCTCCTCAATTTGGATTTGCGTTTTCAGTAAGTAACGCAATGAGGCCTGAGCCTGCAATATTTAATTACATGTCAGTAATGCTTTGGAAAAAACACGGTTCACATTGTGCATATGCAGGGTGTCGGAACAAGTGGCGCAACAGAACACGAAATGGTTTTTAATTTTCAGAAATGGTATAAGTGAGTTCCAGAGTTCATAGTCTTATTTCTATTGTACACTGGCGAGCAAATTCGGCTTCTGCTAGGGGAAAAAGCGGCGTAGAAGAAAAGTCTTCTACCACTTAGTAAATTTATTCCAGGTACTGAAATAAATGTTCAATCGAATGTTAATTCGGCATAAATTTCAGTAATTCCAAATACCAAGTGGTATAAGCATGGTAGGAGGCCCTTTCCCAACACTACTTTTTCCCCTAGTGGAAGCCGAGTACCAACCTCGAACATAGTTGCTTGTAGTTTCGACACGACCTCGCGAAGTTCGTACACTTCTTTGACCAGTTGAGTTTCCACTAGATCTCGCGTGAGCTCTAGACCGGGTCTTTGACATCGATTACCGAGTCTCGTATGCGATAAAGCCAAGTAGCATTCTTTCTCAGCGATTGCTTTCTCTATACGGGTGACATTTTGTGTCATTTCGTTCGCTTGTCGCATTATCTGAAATAAGGAAAAATCGAAACATATCAATAATAAACACATCCGATCGAGTTACGGAGAGAGAACACACCTCGGAGTGTTGTAACTCTAATTTCGTTTTTGCCTCCTTCGTCTCCTCGATACGCCGTTTGAATGCCCCGTCAGTGGCGTTCTTCTGTTCGTTCAAATCGTCGATCGCCTGTTTAATTATTGTGTCGATGTAACAGCGCATTGGCCTGGCGCTATTTATCTCCTTCGATGCGGCGACAATGTTCTCGTTTGTTTGCATCTCCCATTCGTTCAATTCTATCGTCCTGCGACAGAAAAACGAATATTAACGATGCGGTCTTCGGGCAACGTAAAACAAAGGAGAATTCAATGGAAAAGTTTCGTACGACGCATCGAGCCGTGAAACACCATGATATATGCTTAAATTCAAGCTGGTTTCTTTTAGAGACAAATTACGCTTGTCGATGCGTAAGTTGTTCTCCTTATCCTCGAGATCGTGATCCATATAGTAGAGGGTTGCTTTTAGCCTACGAATCTGCTCTTGGGTTTGCTCCAGAGTTCGAACCAGCAGATTTTCGGCGCCTTTGATTACCTCGCATTCTTTCAACAATTCCCTTTCGACGTCGTCGCGAACTAGATCGATTCCTAACCTATGCTCCCTGGAAGGAAATCACAGTGAGAGTTAAGTATTCGACCGTTAGATTAAAATATTTCGACCCCGAAATATTTTTAATCAATGTTTCAATCGGATGATTTATTTTCGTAATTGTAGTTCGACCTGAACATGAGACATTTCTCGCAAATAACAAGAGCGTTCCTCCTAACGGAGGACAACGCATCCATGATGCGTTCCTTGTACGTCAATAGAGCATCGGTTTCAAGAAGAACTTCCTTCCTTATACGCAACAGTTCCTTTTTACGGAACTCAATGTCCTCGAGCTTTTCCTTCAATCTGTGGTCTGTCTCCTCTTTGTTGCCTTTAGCTCTCTCAGTACTCAATTCGCAGACTCGTTGAGACTCGGTTAAAAGTCGATCGGCTAATTCTTGTTGAGCCTCGGAACATCGATACCTGATTCGATCGACAATAAAGAGTTCAGGACAGATATAGGATACGGCATCTTATTCTAAGTTTGTGAATTCCGTTTTTTATGCTATTTTTTTTATGGTTTTAATTCCATTAATTTGATAGCGAAAAGTCACAACGAAAGACGAAAAACGGTCATTTTTGAGTCACGGTAAAATTTGTTTTTCTCTATATCGGAAAGTGCACTTTCTTAACCATATTCTCTACGTTACTAATACAAGGCAAAATATGGATCAAAATTGATCAAGCATTATATTAAAACTATTTCTGAATTTTTCATTTAACTAAATGATATCATACATACCTATGACGATTGTTAAGATGCCATTCGTCTAATGTAAACTTCAGCGGAGGTGGAGGAATTATAGCGTAAGCACGATTGTTAATCATTTTGATACTTCTCTGTTGTTTTTTTATTAATTTTACGAAGTTTTCAATTCTCGGCTTTCCGACCAGATAGTTCTTTTAAACCACCGGGTTTGTAGGTTTGATCTATATGTACAGACGATTTGGGAAGGGGTGGTTTCTATAGAAACGTTGACTGAATTTCACATGTAACCTGTGAAATATCTTATACCGAAATAAGCAATAATATTATATTTAACATTACCTACTAATTATTTAAGAGCGTCAGTTTTATAAAGAATGTTTTCGGCCAAGTAAAAAAAATAGGGCTTCGGGTTCAAACTCAGTACTATACACATTTTAATTACTAAAGGCATTAAGCGACCATTATACTAATTGACTGATATTATTCGCACAATTGCTTTCTTTGCAATAGATTAATAGATCAATGATCGCTTGGAATCATGCGGTAATAAACTATCGAACAAAATTTCAAATTTAACGCGAAAAAATAGGCGGTAGCAACATCTACCTCAAAACGTCCAAGCTATAAGCTAATTATAACTACGCTTCCATTGTTAGATAGCGACAGGGGTCTCAAGAATTTTTTTATGAAAGAATATGTTACTGTCATCTAACAGCAAGAATGTGACACTCGTTGGCTTATAATTTGAACGTTTTCTCATAGATGTTGCCATGGATCTCTTTGGACACTTTTATCCAATAAGGCTCAACTCTGGCTAGCACCAATTATTCCTCAGATTTATTTATCGCTAATACGAATACAATCATATTCAAATAAATCTTTACAAAATTGCATAATAAAAAAAAAGTAAAGAGCTGTATATAAATGGGGGTTCGTAAGAACACGTAATTGTGTTCCACCTCTACGTAAATTTAATGTCTATGCCGAACGTCGATGTTTTCGCCTCATTTTTTGATTTGCCGCGTATGCAACGCCGTGCACAATGGCGGCTTCCGTTACGGTCATATACTTTTTGTCGATCGTCTTTAATAAAATGTAAAGATCTGTCGAAAGTGCGCTCTTTTCGACAGGTTCTCGTCGTCTAAAGATGATGACATAGCGATACAGAAACGCAGAGGTATTCGTGTAGAGGATCGCTGGAGGTATTGGTACACGTTACGAGGTATAGATTTCACTTGATCAATAACAAAAATCTTAGGGGCTTCGAATGATCAGTCACGTTAGGATTTCCTCACGATGCTTTCTAACTTTGAGTGATTTCAGAAGGGACGATCTGCCCGCCGCAAAATGTCAAAGCGACCCGCAGACAGCGGGGACTCGGCTTCCCAGCCGCCCATTAAAAAAGTTCAATTCGAGCCGATTTTAATCGGGCCTATATCGACCCTCGAAGAAATGGACATGAAAGTTCTACAGTTTCAAAATAAGAAACTGGCCCAGGTGAGATGTTTACACTTACGAGTTCTATTTTAAATAGCAGTGTCGAAAAAAAGATGCCACCAAGGTCTTTTATTTTTATGTACCGTTTTGGCCGCGTTTTATTACGATTGGTATCGCTTTTTGCAACTTTAAATAACGTAAGTTACCATACAATTATTCGTCTTTAATAACTGGAAGGGTCAGTAATAGTTTTAGCGTTTGAAAGTGATTATCAATCATTTAATGAACTGAAAAATTTGTTATATAAGAAGTGCCCGGTATTGTTTAATGTCTAGATTTATGAGTCTTTAATTTTAACACATATTAGTTTTTTCAGAATCAAAAATATTTACCACTTGTGGAAGCTACTTAATTGAATTGAATATTCATTTTTCTGATCTGTTTTTTTCATTTATTGTGAACTCATTCTTCTATTAGTTTTAGTTTCTGTTATTATTCTATTGTAATGTTCTTAGCGATTAGAACAACGTCACAGAATTGAGACGGAACTGAGGCAAAGAATTGAACAGTTGGAAAAAAGGCAGATGCAGGATGACGCGGTACTGAATGTTGTCAATCGTTATTGGAACCAGTTAAATGAGGACATACGTGTATTACTTCAGAGATTTGATGCTGAAACAGCCGATGAGTCAGAAAATAAAAGTATAAACTTGCATTAATTTGACTAATTCTAAGTATTAAATGATCAATTACATGTACCTTATTATTTGTTATCGGTTGCAATTACAGATGAGAGTGAAGCTACAACATCGTTTCTCATGCAACTCTCTTCTTGGGATAAAGAAGAGTTGGATGACAAATTAGCAAATCGTGTCCAAGTCTCCAAACGTGCCGTTTCCAAAGTTGTACAGGCGTTTGATCGTCTTTCTCAAAGGAATGAGAAAATTATGCTGGCACTGAAGGGGGAATTTGATGGAGGTAATTCAACCGTTTCGACCACTTGGTGTCCTTCCTTATTCAGTAGGCATATCCTAAGCTTTCATTTCAATAAGTAATTTTTATTTTTCTTGTACAGTACAAATAGCTCTAACTTGATGGAACACAATTGTAGAAGCTTTGAGTTAATGTTAAATTACTAATACCTTACACAAGACTTAACAAATTTATCCGTGATATTTACAGAGTGGTATACAGAATTAAAAATTAACTACACTGTTGTATTTTAGAGGAGGCACCTAAAATTGATGAAGTGGTGCGTAGAGCAAATTCTGAGATACAAATGGAAAATAGGAATCTTCAGGCAATAAACATACAACTTCACGAGAAATATCATACTATTTCACTGAAGGTAATTTCGACTTATTTCTTCATTAACAATTAATTAGAAATTTCTTAATGAATGTGTATCGCCTCCTAGATGTCAGAATTGCAAGATACTATAACAGGAAAAGACACACTTGCTGCAGAGCTACGTAATCAAGTGGATGATCTGCAGTATGAACTGAATAAAGTGAGAGCACGTAATGACAAACTGGAACACCATCTTGGAGAAGCAATCGAAAAACTAAAAGCATTTCAGCAAATACATGGCACTGATGAAAAGGGTAGCAATAAACCAAATACCCTTGTAGCGTCGAGCGTTTCACAGACAAAGGTATGTACTTTTCGGCTATTCTTAACAGAACAAATAGTACATTTAATTTCACCATTTGTTCTGCAGCTTGAAGATCTTCAGAGAGAACTAGAAGAGACAAGGGAACTAGCAAATAATAGGTTACAAGAATTGGATAAACTGCATCAGCAGCATCGCGATACATTGAAAGAAGTAGAAAAATTAAAGATGGATGTGAGTTCTTTCGGTTTTGTATATATTATCTTTATGCACGGTGCAGAATGTAAATTATTGTCATGTGCAATAAATACTCATGTTACACTTGCTTTTGCTCGTTTCTTGTGTTTTACTTCTTTACATTTGACTAGAAAGTACTCGCGTGTAAAATTAACAGAATCAGTCTTAACGTTGTTGTCACGTCTCACTTTCGATTTTATTTCGAAATATATTTTGTATTTCCAGATACGTCAACTTCCAGAATCAGTAATTGTCGAGACCACTGAGTATAAATGCTTACAGTCGCAATTCTCTGTATTATACAACGAATCGATGCAACTGAAAACACAGTTGGATGATGCACGGCAACAATTACAGTCCAGCAAGAACGCTCACTTGCGTCATATCGAAATGATGGAGGCAAGTGTTAATATACATTGTATCCTTTTATAATTTCTGTGTCGCACGAATCTAATTGGTGTTCTCTGCTTAGAGCGAAGAATTGATGGCACAAAAGAAACTGCGTGGAGAATGTATACAACTCGAGGATGTTCTAGCTCAATTACGAAAGGAGTACGAAATGTTAAGAATCGAATTCGAACAAAATTTAGCGGCAAACGAACAGACTGGACCAATTAATAGAGAAATGAGGCATTTAATAACGTCCCTGCAGAATCACAATCAACAATTAAAAGGTGAAGTTCATCGTTACAAACGAAAATACAAAGAAGCGTCTTCAGAAATACCAAGGGTATGTTTATCGCATTAAACGATTGTGAAAGAACTTCGTTAAATTAATCGAATGAAAGTATTTGTTACTGATGCCCATAATTTGTTACAGTTTAAGAAAGAAATAGAAGAACTGACTGCCAAACTAGGCCAGCAAACGTCTCAAGAAAATAAGGAAGGCAATAATTCAGATGGCAGTGGAAAAGAAGAAGACGCGTCGAATTCTCTTCCAGGTTCTACACAGGTACAAACTCATACCTTCTTTTTATGTTAAATTCTGTTTTCAGGTAATGTTATTAGGTCTTAATAACATTGAACTTTACTTAAGTGTATACGTAGATTTTATCGAATAATGTAAAAACAATTTTTAGAATAATGGTTTTACATATTTCTACTAATGCAGATTAAAGAAGAGAGCGGAGTTTCCATTAAAAGAGAATCAGGAGAAGAAGAGGTTGAAACTATTGAAGTCGGAGAAGGGGAGGGAAACAAAGGTACACCAGATTCTCTGACCTTAACGTCTCCAACTCTGAAGAAGGAGAAAGATATAAAGCGCGAGAAGGACATCAAGAAGGAGAACGTTAAGACCGAACATCGCGATACTGCTCATCGCACCAAAGACACAAAAGTAGCTGAATCAGAGCTTGTTAGAGACCTGAAAGCACAACTCAAGTATGTTAACGTACAATGAATTGTATCGTTACTAAGTTTGGTGATCATATGATACTTCCATCCATTCATTAGAATGGTGTTTTATTACACTTTATTCACGCGATAGACAGAGGTTCTATTATCACATATTACTTTCACAAATTGATTTACCCTCGATCAAGTTAACGTGACAACTTTTGCGAAGTCACCAAACTCTGGTAATAAATTGATTCATTGAGAAGCATTGTAATCTGTTATTAATTTTGCCGTCCACTTTGTCTCCTTGTATCGTTTATACGTCTTCGTTCTAATTGCAGGAAGGCTGTGAATGAAATGAAAGAAATGAAGCTCCTATTAGACATGTACAAAGGTGTTGGTAAAGAGCAAAGAGACAAAGTACAACTGATGGCGGCGGAACGAAAAACAAGAGCGGAATTAGAAGAATTGCGTCAGCAAATAAAGAAAATTCAAGTGCGTAAAGCAGACTACCCCTTTTTTTAAATTTAAAACACGTAACTTCCTATTAATTATGACGTCATTCTAGGAAAGTAAACGCGAGGAGCGTAAAAAATTGGCAGACGAGGACGCGCAAATAAAGATCAAGAAACTGGAGGAACAGGCGTACACGCTTCAGCGTCAGGTGGCATCTCAAAAGCAGGTTAGTTTATGACGCATCAATAGTGTTCGATGAACAATAATAAAATTAAAAAATAGTATTCGCCTATTGCACTGGCGAATCCTAAATTTCTTTTGTTTAAAGCCCATCTTTGATTGAAACCTTGAACTGTGAATAACGCTGAACAGAATTGCGTCTGGTTACAGGAGGAGGAGGCTCTTTTAAACGAAATGGAGGTAACCGGTCAAGCTTTCGAAGACATGCAAGAACAGAATTCTCGATTGATACAACAGCTCCGTGAAAAGGACGACGCTAACTTCAAGCTGATGACGGAAAGGATCAAGAGTAATCAGCTGCACAAATTAGCCAGAGAGGAGAAGGACGTGTTAAAGGAACAGGTTTCTACGCTCACGACGCAGGTTGAAGCGGCCAATGTGGTTGTTCGGAAATTAGAAGAGAAAGAACGTCTTTTACAGAACTCTTTGGCTACGGTCGAGAAGGAATTGGCGTTGCGGCAACAGGCAATGGAAATGCATAAACGGAAAGCTATTGAGAGTGCTCAGTCCGCGGCTGATTTGAAGCTTCATCTTGGTAAGCGATATACGAACTTTATAAATTCGTCGAAATGGAAATGCGCTTTAATACGTATCTTTTGTGTACTGTTAGAAAAATACCATTCCCAGATGAAAGAGGCGCAACAAGTTGTGGCCGAGAAGACAAGTTCCCTGGAAGCGGAAGCGTATAAAACAAAAAGATTACAGGTAAGATTTTCCTAATGTATCCGACCCTAATGTTTATATACAGGATGTCCCAAAATTGGTTCGACTCCTGGAAATAAGGGGTTCCTTGGATGATTTGACACAACTTTTGAAAAACATCCCAAGAACCCCTCATTTCTGGGAGTCGAAGATATATTGGGACACCCTGTATATGCCTTTTTCCATTTCATTTTGTAATTGCTGCGTTTTATTCCAGGAGGAGATTGCTCAATTGAGACGTAAAGTCGAGAGAATGAAAAAGATAGAACTAGCTGAGACTTTGGACGAAGTGATGGCGGAAGAATTGCGAGAATACAAAGAGACTCTCACTTGTCCGTCCTGCAAAGTAAAACGCAAGGACGCAGTGTTGACGAAATGCTTCCACGTGTTCTGTTGGGACTGTTTGCGTACGCGTTACGAAACACGGCAACGGAAATGCCCGAAGTGTAATTGCGCGTTCGGAGCGAATGATTATCATCGTCTGTACCTCTCCACATGAGGAAGGAAACTCTAAATTATTGGAAAACTCGTGTGACATCTTTTAATTCGATCGCGTGAATCTTTCGGAAGATTACGGATATGCATTTTTTCCATATATTTCCTATTTATTGTCCCCCGATCATTGGTAAAACGGAGAAATGCGATCGTAAAAAAAGAAAAAGAAGTGAAATGTGGTAAATAAACTTTGTAAAAAATTTCGATTATTTTGTCGAGTGTGTAATACAAGGAAAAAATGTACTGCATTTTTAAAAACGTTTTGTAGTAACTACGCCCGAACGTATATATATACATACATATGTATTCTGATCTCATGTAAAGGACGAAGTCGAATCTTGGCAGATGCGCGATTCGATGGTAGCGTCGATGAACAGAATATGAGAATGGTCGATTGTACAATAATTTTATTTGGTCTTAAAATTCGGCTTGAACAAGTAACTTAATCATGAAAGTTAATCAGATCCGAAAGCTACGATAGCCTGAATTTTAAGAATGATTCGCTGAGCAGTAGATATATTGTAATATATTATAAATAGGAATTTGATGCTTCTACGTATATAGTTCAAATTTATTGGTAACTCTCGCGAACAAATGGAAACATTTATTATTTCATAATTATTAAATTACTTTACACATGGGCCTCGCCTGAAGGTCTAGATAAAGTTTTAGTTTCATAAGAATCACCTCATTAACGATTATTATCGCTCATTGATCGAGTGATTGGAAACGTTAAGAGGCACATTAGGAACAAAGATACGATTAGAAATGTAATTAATTTATTATAGTCAAAATGTATGGAATGTATAAGATAGAAAGAAAAAAAAAGCAATTGATTTAGAAATCTTTACTTCTCCGATTGAAATGTTCTTTTTATATTTTGATTAGTGTAATCTCATCCTTTTTCTACTTTTGTTAATAAACATTTCAGTTCTTTTATTCAAAGAAAAAGAAAACGTGGAAATGTTTCTAGTATCTATTACACAGTATAATATACATTACTATCGAGTTAATGAGAGATTAGATATAAAGAAAACAAATATAATGATAATCCAATGATGTAATTTTCAATATTTTGTAACAAAGTTCAAGAAGATGTATCAACGGTTTAAAGTATAAATAGAGGAGGGCTTTTAAATCACAACATTAAATGTTTTTAAATGGTTAAATGTACCACGTTTTTGAAACGAATTAACACGTCTACGTCAAGCTATACAGTAAACGGTGTTCTTGACTTACGCGTGTTCGTTATCCTCATCTTCTAAGTATCAACACGACACGATACATGAAATTTTACCTCGTAACAATAACAGACAATTACCTTCCATGTAAGAACAGTTTTATCGTGAATAAATTTAAAAAACGAATACTTTTTAATAAAAATGAAATGAAAAGTACTGAGTGTTCTTATGATTTTAACAATCTTTAGTCTTCCCGATTATTTACAATAACACTTTGTTTAGATTTCAGGCTTCTTCGATCTAATCGGAAAAGTGTTTACAGTAAGGGTTAAATCTAGCATGACGTTCCGTTCGTTAATATCAGAAAACAAAATGATCGGAAGTAACATTTCTTTGTTGGCAATTTTATAAACCGTCTTGTATACATATATTTGTAGTAATATAACAATAATACAATAAATTCAAAGTTGTAAATTTATTTATCCGAAGCAGGGGACCTAGTGTCCTTTTACAGAGTTAATTATTATCATTATCGTCGGCAATGATTATTAAACAAATCGTCTAAATATTCTGGTAAAAGAGGCTCGCCATTGTTAATAATCATAGAACGACCACAAATCTCTTTTGATACATCTTACGGTTTTACGAATCGTGACGAACACTCCTTTTTTTCAATATATGCACGTTCTGCTTGATATAAAGCATTTAATAATACACGTGTGTCCTATGTGTATGTATCATGTGTATATATATACGTAAGAATTTTTAGTGGAAATATTAATGGAGGACATATGTGTACGTTAACGGTAATTTACTGATCATGAAATTCGTGCTATCTACGTGTTAATAAAAATTCTTTGATACCTAACATTTGTTTATGACACAAGCTGCCCATAGTGACTGACACACCTACGTCAACTATAAATAATTCAGAATTTCGAAACGAAGTTATTGTATTGTGAAATGTATAAAATATATAAATTTTCAATATTACATTCAAGAATGCTGCATTTATTGGAACAAAAAATTAGTAACGTTAGGAAAGAAACAAATAAATAGTTGCAACAAGTACGTTTTAGATATTTGTGAAAAAAATCACATTAAGGTGGGAGTTGAGAAATACCGTTCTAAGAATGGTATTTCTCAACAAATATGCAATGTTACACTCGCATTACACCACGAAATAAAGTCTCTCGAAGGAAATGCAATTACCCTTACGAACCTTGCTAATTAGTAGATAACAAACGTTATCAATTAGATAAAATGTATATTACTATTGGTTACCTTGAAAATTGTATATTAAACAACAATAGTTTCGAGATGCAAGAAGCTCTTTGGGTCTCTTCGTGGACCTACTTGTCCTTCAGTGATAGTTTAAAAAGAAAAACTACGAAACGCTTTTTAAGAAGGACACTTCGTAAATGTTTAACTGATTTTTTTTCCGATTTTTTTTATTGGTGAAAAAGCTTCCGTTAACCAATTGATTACATTCACTTTACACAACAAATACGTATGTTATTTCCGCAGTATGTCAATCATTGTTCGTCGACAGGGTATATTCGGCGTGTAGTTTTTTTCACTTGGTGATGATAATCGCATTTAGTAATTGTATCTAGTCTTATACGAGTCTCTTTCTCTCTTAAATTTCCTTGGTAAGTGTGTGTATGTGTATGATGCGTGTGTGTGTGTGTGTTGTGTATGTACGTGCATGCTATATGCGCGAGCTGCGAGAGCATTGAGTAAAGTGCGTCAGTGCCGTGTGTGCAAACGATCCGACCCCCACCATTATTCACTTCTCAATTATTTTGTTCACTCGTTCTAACGAGAGATTTATCATTGATGTACAAAACGAAAAAGTGACCAGCAAATAGTCGTGTTGGTTCATGTACCGATACGTATTCATGTATATATATATATATACATGATTTATAGCATATATATATATATGCTATAAAATCATACGTACCAACAGCGCAATAAATTTTATATTCGATTTACAAGCTTAAGAGTGGACTAAACGCACCTGGTCATTCTTGCACGGGAAACAATACCTCGTGTATGCTCGATTGTTCGATCGATTCTGTAAACAATAGAGTGGCATTGTACAGTGTATTAAAGAAATTCTATCAAGAGAAAATCCGCGAATTTAATTGCAAACTTCCGATGCGTACGTACCTACGGTGGAAGAGATATAAAATGTGCTCGTGAAATGGGACAAAAGAATTTAACAGAAAGATGAGATGCGAAGGCTCACTCACACGCGTACGAACTGTCCAAAAAACACTGTTTCAGTTCAATGTTGCTTTATTCTAATCAACATTAATGGCTATTTAAACGTAGAAAGTAACTTCCACATTGCAGATGCTAAGTAAAATTTGTAGCTTTCCTGCTAGCAGAAAAAGTTGCTGTCAGTTGCCAGGAATATTTTTTCCGAGTACGTTTTCATGAGTACAATTTCGTGTCCTGCAACATCAGTGAGACTAGCTTGTCAATGGTCTATACTTGCATGACTACGTATATCCTTTCCACCGATTATGAATTATAAATCCATATACAAGGGTGATTCAAGACTTACAGGCCAATCAAATAAGGGTTGGGGGTTTGATGAAAAACACATTTTTATCCAATAAATGAATGTCCAATCTCGCTACCGGGTTTCCAAATAAAGTGAAAACTCTATTAAACTTTATTAAATTCTATTACAAGACCGAGTTGTGGACAATCACATATGAAACACAACTTCGCAAACCATAGACTAATTATTAGTATATGTACTTCATTGTATGGCGGATTGCTCATCGGCGGGCGTTTTGAATTTGCTTTTAACAGTCTTATTACGTACTTATCAATGAAACGAAATCGGACAGATGTTTATCATTACCAAAAAAATGTTTCTTTCGTCATACCCCGCTATCCCCTGAGCAATTGACCTGTACGGGTATATTTCGTTATATTTATACGTGTGTATATACATATATATCAATCGTCGTGAAAAATCGACACACGCGAACGAGCCGCTTTAACAGGTAAAGCCAAAAAGTGGCGGTTAATATGAGCAGAGAAGATAGACGTATAGATACAGCTATGAATACGAAATTAACGAAAAACTAAACCAAATTGGTGTGAATGCAAATACACCTAATTCCCCCTTAATGCAGCAACATATGATTAGGAATGTTTATAATATTCTCGTATGTACCTCACAATCATGACACATGTTTTTAAAAAACGGTATACGTATATGCATGTGTTACACTCTATATAAATACACAGCATATTTATATATAAATATATAAATATACAACATATTTATATATTTATACGTATATAATTCTCATAAAACTGTCTGCAATTATTTTTCTCTGCATTCGTATAATTGCATAATTGACTAAATTTCATATCATATTGGTATTAGCTAAAACGAGAGTTGTGCGTACACAATCCCTATAAATGCGCACATGCGCCATAACGCACGAATTTTTTTGCATTTCATAGTCTCTAGATATACATATATATTATATGTATATGAATCATTCTTATAACGAATTCTTTTTATTTACAAAAATCAATACATCCCTTACGATGCGATTTCAATTTTTCATCTAACTATGCGCTATCATCTACAAAATGTTTCACTCAGTCCTTCAAACGGTGCCCCTACTGTCTCTTTTGTTCGATTTTTCGGAATTCTACTGTCACGGAAGATCGAACGTATACATACATGAGTGTCTAAGAACGAAATCTTTCTCCATGGAAAATTGAGGGCGTTTATTTTCTTCCTATTTGGACTAAAGCTTCTTTTTATGTATTTTCCTTTTACTCCTCCCATAGTAATGCTCTTAAGTGGTCTTCCTACCACAGTATTTTAAAAAATAAATAATATTCAGGGTTTCTTTTAAGCAAACTAATCATTCTTTAAATACTAAACCTCATTCTATTTTAGCAATGTTCTCTAATGTTCAGCTCTAGAGAAATATCCCTACATCGCCGAATGCAGTAAAATTTTAATCGTTATAAAATTCTTCGGACAGTAAACTTTATGATAAAAGAGTATGTAATATAAAAAAGATCAATTTGTTCAACCTCCTAAAGTAGGAAGACCTCTTAATGTGACCTTTCTAGATCTATTTTCGGATGTCGGTGTTTAAAAAATATTTGAGGTAATCTTGTATAATGTAATAAAAGATTATTAGTTGAAAGGAACAACAAGGTTCCCCCAATAAAAAAAACGTGTATGGTGAAAAGCAAATCATTTGAAATATTACAATGAAGTTTAATTCGTGGACCATTGAAATTCTCTTAGATTACTGTTATTCGATTCTAGTCCACCCTATCATTCTCCACTGGCTTTCGTCCGGAAATGTCTCGCGTTGAATTATTATCATATTTACGCGCTATTGAGGCAAGATTAACAACCTATCGTGTGTCTGTCTCATTATTCGAAAGGCTTTTGGTAAAGACCACAAGCGAGATGGAGAAATATTTATAAATACATACTACGTACTATTATATATGCACAAATTAAGAGTCATTCCCGATTGTACAGATCCAGATGTATTCTGGATACAATCGCCATCCACTTCTAAATAATAATATGTCATCGTGTTAACAGTTACTCGATGTAATCTCGAGCAATTATAAATGTTTACTTAGACAAAGAGTCCTGTACATGTTTACGTTCACCAATGCACATACATAGGTAGTCCATTTAGAGTTCACTGCGTTTAAAAAGTATTTAATACCGGTCTGGAGATTCTTATTCTCTGTTTTCCCTGTCAACGGATGCTTCGTGTATTTATAATCGATGATAATAAACGTTCCAATTCCACAGCAATATTAATTCGCGAGACCTATTCCTAGGAATCGAATAATAGACTAGATTACAATACAATTCGAAAATCTGCAGTGTTGAATAGTATTATTTTATCACTTCTGCTGACGTTAGGAGATATCATTCACAGTCTCCGTTATTTACAAGTCGTTAACTTTACATGTATGTTTATTTCATATCCCACGACATAATCACTTCAGGAAGTCACTGTATAATTCTGACGAACATAACAATGTAGAACATCGGCACGTAAAAGAAAAGATGTACCATTTAACTCGTGTCTCTCTCTCTCTCTCTCTCTCTCTCTCTCTCTCTCTCTTTCTCTCAGTGTTAGGTCGATCGACGTATATCGTAAACATAGTACGATTCTTTTTTTTTTCTTTTGTTCACTTACGACTTACAGGATCGTCGGGTTCAAAACAGGAATAATGTAACTGCAAAGTCTGCACCGAACGGTAACGTGAAACTTCTTTGTTATCAGAACGTTCTTGATACTTACGAGCGCAGAGATCATTCTGTCTTTACCGATTCCCGACAGTATACACAACGGAACATTAACGAACAGATATCACTATTCTCGATTCGTTTACACTTGAACAGTCCCACGAGTATTTCACTGTGTAATACATTCGAATAAACACACTCCCTGTGAGTCATGATTCTCCCGAATTCGATTCGTCGTAGTGCGAAAATTTCAGAAAAACTTGCTCCAGAGTGGTTTGGCTGAAGCTGTACTCTTCAATGTCCAGCTCGAGCTTCGCTGAAAATCGAATACCAAATGTCATTGACACGGTATTATTATGTTTATCCTAAGAATTATTTGCAACCACGCAGAAATAAAACAACGTTTGGGGTTAAGATATCTGTCCCGCGTACACGGCTGAACGAGACCACACAAAAAATAGTATGGGCACAGTCATGGCCAACTACAGCACAGGCCGGAACATAGTAAATTTGGCAACGCTGTAATCAGTCCCATGAGAATTAAGGAAAAACCGGTAGCGTTATGTGGTACCGGCTAGATAAATTTACATGTAAATGAGTCAACTGACCCTTATTAAATATGCATATAAAAGCGACGTATACAGTAGTTTAATTGGACTCGATCGGACCATCAATCGGACTGATGTTTAGTTTTGATACGGTGTTGCAACATCATATGTTCCGGCCTGTACTAGAGTCGGCCATGGCACAGTGGTTAAGAAACTTTATATGCCTAACCTTTCTCCAACTGCGTGAAGCACTCGGCCAGCGAGTTGACTGCGTGTTGGGGAACGCCGAATACTAATCTGTCGGCGAAACTTTCCTCCAGGGTGGCGTCCGGGAACAGGCTCGAAACGAACTCTTTCAGACCCGTAATCCGGTCGCCGGAAGGTGTCGTGGGTGTACAATCACCGCCCAGAAGTTTCATCTCAAGGGTGTATCCAGCACCGTAAAGATTCTTCAGATGTTGGGTAGATCCAATACACCTCATCTCTCCCTTCACCATTATACCCACCCTTGAGCACAAAGCATCGGCTTCCTCCATCGAATGCGTCGTTAAAATTGCCCCTCTGCCACCCTGCGGATGAAAATATTTTTTCTTTCAGCACAAGTGGTGTCGAGCCTTGCGACGACAATAGAAAATATTATACTTTGATGGACACCTGGAAGCTGGCGAGGATCGTATCCCATAAAAATCTTTTCGACCTAGGATCCATCCCTGTACTGGGCTCGTCCATTAAAACGACTTTTGGACCACCTATCATTGCCATCGCGAAACTGAGTTTCCTTCTTGTCCCACCGGAGCATTCCTGCGTTTGCTTGTCAGCATGCTCGTGAATTTGTAGACCGGACAGATACAGGTCTACGATTCTGTTAAAAAAGAAAAGAAAATAGAGCTTATTTATAGTTTCCTTATTAATTTTGTGGACGTCTGAAAAGTGCCGAGAGTATGTGTAAATTTTACCGGCCGATATCTCCCCACGGTACACCGCGTATAGCGGCGTAACACTCTAAATGTTCCCGGACAGTGATGTTCTTCCACTGAGCATCGTGTTGCGGACAATATCCCATCTGTCTGAAAGCCTCCGTCATATGGGAATGAATATTGTTACCGCCGATCTGAACCCTGCCCCGAGTGGCCGCCTCCTCCGCTATGATAATTTTCATTGTTGTAGTTTTACCAGCGCCATTGTGACCCAGTAAACCGAATACCTCTCCTGGTTCCACCGCCAACGAGAGATTTCTCACGGCGACTTTTCGTTGTTTTTGACTGACCTCCTCCTCTTGTTTAGAGCAACAACTACAGGAGCCTGACTCTCGATGTCGGTACTCCTTCCTCAAATTCTAAACAACGAATCGTTTTCAATTTAATCGTAATTAATTGAACTTAATCTAACACTGGAAAGTCTTCTTTGACATTCGTACCTGTACCAGAACTACAGGCGGTTCCTGAACGGACGATGAAGTAATGAGATTAAAAACTTTCTGCCTCTCGGCTTTAACATCCGAGTCCTCATGTTCGCCAATATCAGTGTTCTCCATTATTTCCTCGCCTATGGAGCCTCCGTTACGCTACGAGTATAAGAATGTAACAATTTTCGATATAGTATTTCGATACAGTACTTGGAATATACAAAAAAAAAAACGTATTCTAACCAGAAAATGCTTGAATATGTCGCTGACGTTGCCACCGCTCTTTTTGATATCCAATAACAAAAGTATAAAGAACCACACCGGGAAGTGCAGAAGCACTCCAAAGGCCATTATAATTATTTCCGTGGTCAAATAATCGGACATAGTTAGATGATGGCAAGCGGCGTTGATGGAGCACATTAGGTGGACTCGTTCTACATAATACACCGCAGCATACGGCACATACAATGTGTTTAATAAAGAGAAGATTACGTGCAGAATGAATGCAGCTGTTCCACCTGAAAGAACAATTTGGCTATTGTTAGAAAATCCGACCGTCTAAAAGCAAATGTTCAACAGAATCATCGAAATTTCATGCAATAGTATGATACAGCACATATTCGCCGGTAATTTCACATTTTTCTAACGAATCATCTGCTTTTTATTAAGAACTCAGTGATGTATTCCCAATGTCCCGAATGTCACGGAAATAGCTATGGTAATACTGTATGTACTTAATCTTTTAAGAATGAAATTATTACTTACTAAGACCGAGCATATCGAGACTCGTAACTAGTATAAAGGGTATGAGCCCGAAGAAGGTAACAATATTGGGTAGAATACTCTGTGCAGAATCCATCTTGTCGAACATGTAACTCAGACACGTGGAGAACAGAATGGATGCCGGGCAATAAAGCATTAAAAGACCGCCAAGGGTGATGAGCGCTGGTATCTCTTGAAGCGAAGGCACATCGAAGAGGAATATGATGCCGAGTATACAGAGACAGATGAACGTTATCAGGCTGACAAGTACGATAAAGTAGGTCAGGAAGTACATCGAAAACGTCAGACCATTCACACGTAGTTGATTCTTCGCTTTTATCTACAGAACATGTAATTGTGACCAATTAACAAGCTGTTAACACCTTCAATGGTCATTTAATAGAAGCCAATATATTACCTCTCGATCGTAGACCATGTCCACGACTAAGACTATCGGCAAAAGAACGAAATTCATTCCGATAAGCCCAGCAGAGCTGGCTGTGCCAATATTGAATTCCTGCGGTTGAGAAGTCTGTTGGAAAGGATGAGTTTTCACCCCTATTGGCTCCAAATCTTCTTTATCCGAGAGCAACCTAATTATAAGCAATAAATTTTCAATGTAAGTGTAACTAAATTCCGGTCAATCGTGTCTCTGAGAATTAACGGTCTTACCTGTAATACGTGTTGGATAACGAATTTATCAAAATCGGTAGGGAGTGTTGCATAGTGTCGTTATAAGCGACAGTCAAATCAATTTTCCCTTCGCTGTATTTGTTAATACTGAAAACAGCCATGTGCGGTGCGACTTTCGATAAATTAGCGAAATCTCCATTGTATTCTTCAATGTATCGTATATCCTGAGCTATTCCATCGATTAAGTCGCTTATATCGTGATCGGTATGGTTAGTGTACAAAAGTTTCGTCTCCTCGCCGTAGGTATCTATCAACGATATTATACACTGACATCTTTGCGTTCTAAACAACCGCTGAATATATATACAGGGTGGACCACGAAACTATTCTACTGCCTAGCTGTTCCATCGAAAAGTTGTTTGACTAATACCACATAACAACTAAATTCTTTGTCAACCCTCTTTTTCCAGAGTTTTCAAGGTCACTTTCAGTTTTTTTTTATAGATAAACCTATAGAAGATAGTTAAGAAAAAAAATTATTTGCCAAGATGCTTACCGAATTCGTCTCAGTATCCGTTAAAAAAGACTGAAGGTGACCTTGCAAACTTTGGGAAAACAGGGGGTTGACAAAAAATTTGCTATAATCATCTTAAAGCTCTCATTGCATCATGTTACATTAGCTACAACAATTTTCGATCCTACAGTTAACAGTGGAATAATCTAAGCTGATCACATTTCGCGGTTCACCCCGTATACACATGAAATAACGAGGCTGTAGCGTACCATTGTCCAATTTTAATGACTGCATCTTGATCTCAACAGTCCGAATTCTGTTTAAATGAAGGCTAAGAGCAATCAGGAGAAGTGGAGCAACGATGGTGAAGTAGAGTAACTGAATGTTCCTGAAGAGCCTGAGTATCCTTAGGCGAAGCATAGCGTATAGGGTCTGTATGAAGTTAGGCCGGATCTTTATGGGGTCTAATCCGAGGCCGAGGACAGGAGGATTTCGATCATTATGAACGCCGTCCGGCAGATCGCCTGCGCCTGGTGTAAGAAGAATCCATGTTCCAATAACTTGATAATATTTAGAGTGGTACGGTGAACTGTGAACGTACCTTTCGCTTGACCGTCGTTCTGGACGGTGACGCCTTCGTTCTGCAAGCTCTGGTAAGACGTGCTCTTCGACTGCAACGACAACGACCTGCTCAACGCTCGATTCCGTACCATTTTCTTCGATAAATTGTCCATGGTACATTCTGTGCCCTCGTCTTTCTCAAGATGCAGGAACACCTCCTCTAGCGTGGTCATCGACACCCCGTAACTACTGATCCCCAATCTACTCGATCTGGTTTTGATCTCGTGTTCTATGGCGGAGAACAACGGGGCGAAATTCTCCACGGAATTATGGGGCAGAATGAAGCTCAGTTCCCGGCCGTGACGTCTCGCCTTCTCAGCCTTCGACACGTGTGAAGTGACCAATCTGTTAATAGCGTGCTCTCTCGCGTTCCCTTCTAGTACCAATCTGCGCAGGGGTATTTTTATCATTGATGTGTGAATTGTGTGTCAAGCATAGAATGTATTTGGTTATTCATTATATATTCTTGACTCACGTTAAATGATATCCAATACCGAATTTGTTCTTCAAGAACAACGAACTACCGCAACACCGTAATTTCCCTTTGCTGATCACCGCCTTCCTGTCCGCCAATATGTCAGCCTCGTCCATGAAATGCGTGGTTAACAATATCACCTTCCCGTGACGACGGGATTGCAAGAAGGACCACATCTGTCTTCTGGAGTAAGGATCTACACCAGCGGTCGGTTCGTCGAGAATGATAATTTTCGGATCGCCAATAATGGCGATACCCACGGACAACTTCCTCTTCTGACCGCCGCTCAAATACTTCGCAAAAGTGTCCGCTTTCTCCGACAAATCGATATCCTTCAATGTTTTCTTCACCTGGAGACGATAACAGTAGAGAATTCTGGTTAACCATGATCGTTTATAAACAATAAGAAAAATTGAAACGAAACAAAAATATTTTTCTACGATTCAAGTATGGCCTCCTATATTTCAAGATCGTTTACTCGCATATTATGAATTGTTTTCTAAAGAAAAAACAAATTTCCAAAAATCGAGTTGTTGCACGAGAATCCTCCCTTAAGAAAAAGGATTAAGTGTATTCACCTCATGATCTATCGTTGCCCTCGGAATGCCCCGTACAGCCGCGAAGAACTCAAGGTGTTCCCGTGGTGTCAGAAGATCGAACAGAATATCGTGTTGCGGGCAAACGCCTGTCATGCTACGGATCACCTGCATATCAGTGGAATCGCGAATATCGTAGCCGAAAATCAAAGCGGTGCCAGCGGTTGGCGCGGTCAAGCCGGTGAGTATGTTGAACAGACTTGTCTTCCCGGCCCCGTTGTGGCCAAGTATCGCTGTGATTTGTCCCTCGTAGATCGTTAGGTTGATGCCATTCACAGCCTTGATCTCTGGCTTGCGACACTTCTGGTAGGACTTGTAAAGGTCGACTATCCTAATGGCCTCGCGACCTTTCATCTCCCTCACCATCGGCTCGATGTCGCGGTTCGTTTCCTCGCCCGGTATGAAGGAGTTTGACTCGCCATTGGACGACGGAACCTGGACAAAACGAACCAATTCTTTCCTCTATTTTGTTCTTATGTGTTGTTCTCCAGTCGAGTTTCATCGTTAAGCGTTCATCAACTCACCCGTGGAGCCTTCCTCTGGCACCAAAAACTCCGTGTCAAACAGAACCACGGTGTTCGTTTTATTCCGTACTCGCCTAGGATTAAATTTGAATTGTATTCGTTGTGTGCCATAGCAACGAGTTACTGGGTTGAGTTTATAAATACGGTTTTTCTATTACCGTCATTCTATGTGAAATCGGACACTTCTTGGGGTAACATCGAATTTTGTTGGAACTTGGATATGTTATAGGTTTTCAATAATATATAAATGTATTTCGAAGAATTTGTGAAAATATTAAGGATTGTTCATTTTACAGCAGTTTGAAATGTTGTGTCAACCTTTTTTCGATAAATCATAACTGTTGATTTAACAAATTGATCGAAATGAGCTGTGTGTGTGCTTACAGTGGAGATACTACCTAATAAAAATTATTTCACTTGAGCAAACATATTTTTTTAACCATTTATTTTTCAATTATTTTAAATGCAATTTTAGAATAGCGGGGGTACTATTGAAAAATTTGAAGAAAATGAGGGTATAGTCACATTTGTCCTTTTTATGGACAAATTTTTTAAAATATGGAAAATTATAATTTTTTAAATTATAATTAGTCATATGAAAATTAATTGAAGTAAACGCTGCGTCGAAGCATATCGGCACGACCGATCGAGTAATGAATTATCCGTTGAACTAACAATCTTATCAGAAGAAGTTTTGTGGTTTCTTACTGTGGAGACATATCAGCAATTTATCAAATTATTTCAGTTAAAAGAAAACATTTTCCTTCGATAAAATATCCTTTGAGATACATTTATATATCACTAAAGACTACAACATATCCAAGTTTCAACAAACTCCGAAATATTACTTCAAAAAGTGTCCAATTTCGCGTGGGGCCTATATTAAATAACAGTTCAGTAAAGAACAAATCGGGAAAGAACTTACTGGGTATGACAGAGTCGAAGTAATAGGCTAAGCAGGCATACAAAAAGATGTCCAGAGTCATCATAATCAGACTTCCTCCGAAGGGTATACCAGGACTGGACCAAAGATTACCGAAATTGACTCCTTCGCCTTGTAGATCCAGCACAAGTGCCTGGATTAATTGTCACAAAGTGTCATTAGCACATTATTTGCAATTTTCGATTCGTGGGTATTAGAACAGTGTCCTTTTCTGTTTCGACACAGACCTTATCCATCGCCAAAGCAACGCCTGTCGGGCTGAGAAGAGACACCACCCAAAAGTAAATGGAGCTGGAGTCCTTCACGAAAACTTGAATGAAGTACATCAAGCTCAATATCGTCACGGCGAAATTGCCAAGTACACCGGCGGTCTGGAAGTAAAAAAAAACAAAAACTTTTGTCGATATTTCCTTGGCTAAAAAAGAAGAGTCTAATTTTCATCGCAAGCACTGGATCCGATTTCTTTTTTTCTGAAGCCCAGTATGTAAGGCTGTTCGATGCTTACCCGTGATTTGTCAAAGAATGGCGTTATCATGAAAGCGAACATGATTATGGAGAAACTGTAGAGCACTACTAAAAGGAATATCGGTAAGAAGTGTGTGTGCTGGAACATCTGTAGTGTAAAAAGTAGTATCACTCCGACCGCAGAGAGCAGCAAGACGAAGACACTGTAGATAATGAACCACGACAACCTGAAATGGAGAACGAAATGATTTTTCATTTCTGCCATGGAATCTCGATTATCTTTTTCAGGTAAGCTTGTCTACTGGCTCATGCAAGATTATAATATGTATATACAATATTCGTTGATCATGCATTGTTCACAGGGGAACTAGAATAACAGAACGCAATCTACCCATAAACACCTACCAAAACACCGAATCTTTCAGGCCCATCATCTTCATTCCTTCCTTGATCTTTTTCTCCTTTTCACCAACTATCAGGATCAGAAGGTAAGTGACGAACTGCGAGATAGCCAGTACCATAAATAGAGGTATAACAACTCTAAAGGCCAGCATCCAGTCTAAATAAAACATATCCTTAGAAATATGCCCACGAAAGAAACACAAGTATCTGTAGACTACTGTATGGTTTTTCTAACGTTAGTCGGACAGCCTTTGTATACTAAACGTGCAAAAAAAGAAATGGAAATATAATGACTATAAAATGTTGTGTATATAATTACTCGCTGTGAAGGCTTCCTTCGGGAACATTTCCAACTTAACATCCGGCAGAGCTACGTCACTGTTCCCTGTGTCCAACTGTAAATTACCAACGCACACAATTATACTAATACCATTATCGATATTGCATTATACCAGGGACAAATTCGATTGGTCGCTCAAACTCACGGCCAAGAAAACTTGGGTACCCCGAAAAATCCGATGTTGTTTGAACTCCACAGGTTTGTGGGGAATATCGATAGAAGAATCGGTCAATATTTCGTTTTTGCTGATACTTGGTTCAACAGAGTGAAACCACCTCTTAAAGGTTAATATGTCTTTTATCAATTTTCCTGTATATATCTTGAAAACTATATAGTTTACAAGATATGTAAGACAATGTGAAGACACACACTAACTTCTAAGGGGTGGCTCCACTCTAAAGAACCGCATATCAGCAAGAAGAGTCTAGAAACCCGCGTAGTTTAAAACAAATCAGAGTGTTTGGGGTACAGAATTTCCCTTGTACAGACTCCTCTCGATTATCGTCCCGAATTCGTTTTTTGCCCGAAGTCAACAAAAGCGAAGGGACAACAGTCTGCGCTTGACAATTTCCAGTCCCCCCCAGTGGTGGGGATAATGCCTGGATAATAATCGCTTAGAACAAGCCAGACAATAATCGAAAGAAGTCTGTAAGTGACTGTACTTTGAAAATATTAACAGTAGCATTGGGGAATTATTAACTGTTTATCCAAATATAGGGTGAAGTGTACATAGTGGTGGATTAGGACACAAATACAGCGTAATTTCCTAAAGTGCGCACACCTACGATCAACAGAGCCACAGTCTCTAGAAGCATAAATAACGGTTAATGGGATACAGAACGATCATCCGGTACCGTACCCTTATCTTTGTAATATCCATTATCAACTGCAACGCCAAGAAGCCAGAATGCAGGTAATTGTTCACAGGGCACGATCCACCGGTCTCTATCGACAATACGCCACCCATCCAGTGGCTGGTGTCCTTTCGACAAGTAACTGGGGCGGAATACAATTCGGTCGGCGATGGCGGACTTGTGTACGACGGATTAGTTCGTATCTCGTACCTGAAATGCAATGCTCGATTTCAGGACTAAACGATATTCAAAATTGAACAGAAATTATCCTAGATACTCATGGAAGACATTCGTCCATGCCCAAAATGATCAAAGACATACATCGTGCCCTTTGCTACCAAAAGTGAAAGCTCGAAAACGATTCACAAAATGCAGAGTTGTCGGAAATTACAGTCTCACTCCAAACAGTAAAAGTGACACATAACCGCTTTCTTCTAGCCAACTTGTGAAAGATTACACTCTTGACGATTAACAATAATCGAATTGGGTGTCTAGAAGAAGGGCGAATGTTATAAATTTTTGGAAAGGACTTTTCCGTGAAACAAGAGCCAACGTGATGTAGAAGACGCTTTGGAAAAGTTTCTAGTACTCGATAATGGCACTAGGGGTCAGGAGCTGGACAGAAAAAATTAATCATTATTATTCTTCAACTGCTACAATGAGTAATCAAATGTTTTCACGTTTTCCTGTAAATTTTATGAAACTTAACATACATCCTTTTTCTAGACACCCATTGAATTCTGCGACTATCCCATAGTGATAACTCGAAAAACATGTTTTACGTCACTTTTATCGCAAGGGTGCGAAATACTGCATTTACAATATTTATCGTACTATCCCGATTTCCTATATTGATGCATTGCCAAACAAAACCACTCCTGGGAATGGGTGACACTACGTTTGGTCTAGATTCAATCTTTATGATAATGGTAGACACAAAAGCGAATAAATACATGTTGCACAACTATCTTACAGAAGACGCTGTGATATCGGCTGAGAATTCTCGAAAATTACGGCTAGTGGTACACTATACGGGTCCCTCCAGTACGCAGCCTGCAGGTCATCCTTCGTGTCGAACACCATGAAATTCAAGGGGAGTTTGCCAGGATAATCCCACATCGATAACCATAGGGTATTCATCGAGTTCAAGAAGTTCTGGAAAATCGAAGGAACACGATCAAAGAAACGTTTCTCAAGGGGAAATTGTTCAGGATCAGGTTTAGACTAGTGATGGTCGATACACGTAAATTCTATTAATATTTCGTGGCGATATATATCGGTGGTCAAAATATCGACATGGCTAAAATATCAGTAACAAAGTATCGATGATGTCGTCAGTATCGATTATCGATATTTGTAAATTATTATAGATTCTTCTCGATTATCGTCTGACTTGTTCTACACGATTATTGTCCAGGCGTTATCCCCACCACTGGAGGAGGGTAAAAAAAAAACGAATTTACGAGGGTATGAAGCGTTTCTCCCTATAAGATTATTGTCCCAGCAAGAATCCAAGTTCGGAACGATAATCGAGAGGATTCTGTATCTGTATCCTGGTACTTAAAAAGAAAAAAGCTTAAATAAATGGCTATATGTGGTGTTAATTGTTAATGTCCATTATTGCTAACTGATGTAGAATTCTCTCAACTTGAAGAAATTTAATGCACCCAAATGTATAAGAACAATCTTTATACGTAATTTTGTGCGAATTGAGACGGTTAGTAGTTGAATATATACATAAATATGTACACACCAAAGTTTCCGTCGAGTTCGGGACAACAGCAATCGTGTTGTTCTTCAATCCGTTGAATGTGTTGAATATACCGCCCTCCTGCCTCTGTGACATCATCGCCGGATAATTTGGATTCGGTAGCAACACTTTCACCACGATCAGAATGCCTAAAGTGCAGAGGGGTAGGAAGATCTCCTGCAAATACAAGCAAATCGTTCGGCGTGAATAACAGAAAAAAACCACCGTGGAACAACTCTTATACGAATTCTGCCGACTTATAATACATTTTTTACACAGCTGAAAAAAAATTATTACCGCCGTATTATAGCACCCACTCTACACCCAGCAACTTTTGTTAATAAAGTTTATTCATATCTTCGAAGATAACGGAGATATTCGAGTGGTAATTCTTATTGGACCACCCTGTACATACGCGGTTGCAGGGAATTTCACGTCATTCTTTGTACAGGCCAGATATAATAACCGGTTTAATGAAAAGAGGGTTGCATAGGCGGGGCTGAAGTTGCGCAAAGGGGGTAGGGTGGGACGAAACACACGGGAACATGTTCATCAACCCCCAATTGATACTTAATAATGCACGTCACGAAATCATATACGATTATCTCGATTCGAAATGGCAGGGTAACCGCTGAAAAGAAACTCACCCTCCCGACCCCTGTGCATAGAATAAAGCCCACCTGTACTCTATCCCATACACCTGTCGTGCAGGGCGGCCGAGCATCCCCTGCGCAAGCGTTCGATACACAACCTACCACCCCTCTGGTAGTAGAAAACACGAACAAGTGGATACGGTTTTGATATTCCCGGTCACCATGGCGATCAACAACCGAATAAACCAGTCTCACCTGGGCCCCTAGACCGCCCTCGATTCATCGGAAAACCGAATGGGATTCAGCTGGGGTCTCTCTTCTGTGGATTTTGCGTGAAAATTGTTGAGGACCAGAACGATCAGGTGAACCAATAATTTGACGACAAAAGTCTTACTGAGACTACTCGATTGGTCTTACACAAGTACAGAAAGCTTCTGCTAATGAACTAGGTTGTTAATATTATTTCACATTTTTTTTTTTCGAGTAAATGTACGTACGATAAGGTGTAGAATTCCTTTTGTTTCTGGGGCAATTGTTATCCGATAAAGTGATTTCTGGGGGCTGGAGTAGTCACGAAAATCGTCAGGCAAGGGGTTAAGGGGTCATTCTACTTTGACGGCCGGGAGATGTTAAGCTACGTTCAGGGATTGTTTTCCTCGGCGAATACGATGTGTAATCGAATGCGTTATGTTAAGTATTTATTGAAGTAGGGGTAACATAAAAAAATTGCAGAAATAATTTTATTATTTTTTGTTTTATGTTTTTTCTTAACGAATTCGACGACCTGTAGCATGACGGTATTAAAAAAAAAAGATGCATTAACCTATAAAAAAACTCAAGGTCACCTTGACATCTAAAAAAAAAATAAGACATACAAAGATCACATTGCATCCGTCTGATGTTTTTTGATCCAACCAATATGTAACGAGTTATTTTACGTAATAGTTCTTATTGACTCACCTTATATATGTCAACTATTTGTTTGTTTTAATTTGAATTTAGCTAGATTGAGCAAAATACGACACAGTGGGGCGACGGGGGTGCAATGTCGTTTTTCGTGGACGTCGTCACCGAGGACTCGTTTTACGAGAATCTCACGGTGGGCGTGGTGAAGATCCTCGAGGGTTTGCCGTACGTAAAGAACGTGCGAGTGGAGAGGCGAAACGGATGCGAGGACACCGTAATCAGCAACTGGGAGCAACGTCATTGTTGCCTGCTCCCAGAGGATCTTAGGAACTTTTATCTGTCGATCGACGGTTTTCAGCTTCTCTGGAATCTCGAAATAGCAGGTAAACCACTCTCCCGAGACTTATCCTCCTCCCAGTCTCCCCAGCCCCGTGACTCTTAAGACTTTAGGATCTAAAGTTTAAACGTTCGTCTATTCAAATTCTTCTATCCGTCGTTCATTGGAAATAACTGACGTGTCTTGAAATGTTTTGACTGAATTTTAAAGAAAGCGGATATTTTCTTTTTAAGAATGGAGTTTTTTGGAAGGACGGCAAAATCGATCGAATTTCGAAGTGCTGAAAACCGATAGATAGAAAGAATCTAGCACCTTTGGTTTTAAAAAAATACACAAGAGAAAATTAATATGAACAGAAAAAAGAGAAAATTATATACAGTCTCGTAATTCCACAGAGACATCCCATTATTAATTCGTAACCTGACAAAAGTTAGGTCGATACTGATTTTTTTTGTATGGATTCCCTGTCAGCTTTAGGGGTGATATTTATAAAACCCAGCAGACACCGATTCAGTGCTTATTAAGTCCATTGTAATTTCTTCTTTTCCTACTGTTGTTCCCATTCTGTCTTCACATTCTTAGGCTTTGACTCTTTGACCTGCTCCAAGATTTAACCTGTCATAGGAATAATTCGAATTTTTTATAGAAATATTGAATTCTTTCGAATTTTAGGGGGTGTAAAATATTTTCGGTCATAAAAGAACCTAACGTGGAATTCTAATTTTTTAGAAGGGTTTGTCTTTTAAGGATAAACTACCCCCATGTTGAATTAAAAAAAAAATAATAAAAGTATTGGCAAAGAGGAAAATATACGCAACTATAGTACCAGATAACGAAATTATATTGTTTCACACGTGTGGTTGACATTTGATTGCAAAGAGTTAGTAAAAGAAACCCTTTGGGATTTTTCGTTAATATCTCGTTAACAAACCCTCGGATAATATTTTTACCAAGGAAACACTTGTTCCAAATCACCTCACGAGTGACCCATTCCAGGGACCTGCAACACTTCTGTTACACCCTCTATATTTCCCCCAAATACAGTCGAATACTCAAAAAAATATTCTTTCCGATCATAATATGAAATCGTCCCTGAAGAGTTCAGAAACTAGGTCCGCAACAGTACCCCAAATTACAGGTATCAAAACTTTCCCAATCCCCAAAAGAAATAAGTACAATCGTTCCAATTTCCACAAATGATCCTCTCCCCCCGGCGACAGGTGAAGAATTCTCAGTGGGTCGAATGGAGATCGGCAGTTTCTCCACGCTGAAACGATGCTCGACCACCAGGGACCATCAACTCGACTGTCCCAGACAAGAGTCCACGGATCCAGGATCGGAAATTGAGCCCAGAAGCAGCGCCGTGGACCTGGAGAACGCTTGCTCTCTACAAGCCGGAAGTTCACAAAGTTGCAAGATGTTCGAGATCGCCCGTTGTTATCCAGAGATCGGAATGACCAAGGTATACTTGGTGTATTGCACGAAACCCGAGGCGGAAGCGGCGCCGAGCATCTGGCTGCACCGGGAGGAGCTAGATCGATGGTACCACCTGGCTGACAGCTTCACCGTCTACTTCCGGATGATGCTGGTCCACCTTGGTCTACCGTTGTGGCAGTGTTGCGTGGCCGGCGTAACGCTGCCTACTTGGGTCGAGCAAGTCTACTTTCTGGTCGGTCCGCATCTGTTGCCAGCCACCGTTGAGGCCACCGAAACAATATCCGCCACCTTGTGGAGCAACGGGCCCACCAATGTCATCGATCCGGGGATCTTCAAGGGGAAGGACGGCAAGCAGAAAATCCCGCGGAGGAAGTAAACATCGATAAAGAAACGTAGACGCAAGCAGTTATTTACATAGAATCCCTGGCCATATTAAAGTGACCGTTTGAAAATTGTATAGAGAAATTTTTTTTAACAAATCAAATAAATATTTATTCATGTAAGCCAAAATCCGTACGAAATATTAGGTTAATGGTAAATATAATACAATAGTCAAGAGAGACAATTTTTTTTATATGCAAAGAAATATTGTTAATCAGTATTTGGTTATTTCCTCACTTTGCCGCTATGACAACAGGTACCCTCGCGAGCAAATTCGGCTTCCGCTAGGGAAAAAAGTGGCGTAGAAGAAAATTCTTAATCGTATATTAATTTCTTTTAGATGTTCGTTATGATTTGAATGGTAGATCATTTTTTTCTATTAAAACTTTCTTATTTATAATGTTTTCTTTAGAAATTTCTCGTTTCAGGAGTTTCCAAACATTCTTAGTGGGATTAAGGTCAGTCGAGTCCGCGTAAAGATTCTCCCCGCGATTGTCATTCCCTTTGTCTTCCACTCGGCCCCGTCGAGGTTGAACAATTTTATGGTGGAAGGCTAGTTAATCGAGTGGCTCGCCGTTAGGAGGCGCGGGACTAAGTATAGACAGGAATACTTATTTTCTGTATAAATCGATTTTCTCCACCTCTAACGAGCTATATTTAGGCCCTCGATTCACCCCCCTCCAACCCGTCACTGTTGATCTACCGGATAGACCCTTTATCGCGGCACACGCCGAAGTGAGCAAACTGGAGGTCCTCGGAATTTCGGAACCCGGCATTTGGTTGACTGAAATGCAAGGGGAGAAGGTGTCCACTAGTGATGGACGATATAGTATCGATATTTCAAATATCGCAAACTTTCCACGAAGTTTGCCATTGGTCGATTTTTGTTTGCACACTGTTATCTGATAATCTGCCTTAGTAAATATCTGCTAAAACAAATTATTTCTCTTCATTTTTCGATACTCTGGGTATCAATACGTATCGATACCAAATCTCGATATAATCCTAATGTATCCCCATTACTAGTGTCCACCTTACCACATTATCTATCTGTTGCTATTTAACAAGGGACTATTATTAAACAGTTCAATCACGAATAACATTCATGGAAAAATATTAAAAACTCTAACGGAATAACGTAATAATTTCTTTTGCGTTTAAGGGTAATATTAATAAGCCATTTATTTTTAAGCACTGAAATTTAAAAAACTATGGACTACCTGTCAATAAAATGTTAATTTACAGAAAAACGTTACACCAACAATCATTACACAGACACATGTGTCCGAATTCCCGGAAACATGTGACGTCGATCGAAGTCAGTGTCGCTGAATCCGGTGGTCAGTGCATGAACTTTTCGAGGAAACGTTTTGTCGTTTTGTCCAATATTACGACCTTCCGTCGTGTCCATGGAAATGTCCGGCATCAAATTGAAATACAGACTCCTCTCGATTATTGTCCCGATCCCGGGTCTGCTCCGGGACAATAATCTTTTAGGGAGAAATGCTGCAGACCCTCGTAATTCCGTTTCTTGCCCGAAGTCCGAGCGTCGGCAACAAAAGGACAATAATCGTGTAGAACAAGCCAGACGATAATCGAGAGGTGTCTGTACTAGGTTCTGGCACACGCTGTTTGCGGAAAGAAGTGACATTTTTTTTTCAAAAGTGGAATGAAACCATGGCAAACTGATTTAGCATGTAAGGAGACAGAGAAATGTTGGACAAAATCGACGCCAGGGTGCCGAAATTTGAATTCATGATCATCGAAAACGGGAAGTGAAAGAAATGAGTAGAAAGGGAGGGGGAGGGGGAACCCCATCGGATGGCGACGAAGTGACTTTGCCGTCCGCCGGACCGCCTCCCTCCCCCCGGCCCCTGGCTCTGGCAACCGAAAGGGAGGGCGAGCTGCCAATTCGTTTTCGGTGGGTGTGTTTTTTGCGTGCGCCTTGTGCCAACTGGGCCAAGGGTCGACCGACGGAGAGAGAACTTTTCTGTTTTCTCCAAACTCTCTCTTACCCCTTTCTGCCTTGTCCCCCGTCCGCGATAGTAAATCGTGGACACCAACAACGCGCCGGGACCGCGGAAAGAACACAGAGCGCCGCCTACTCTACGTGACCGAGCATTAACCGTCAAGACCGAGGAACCGTTACAAACAGGGAAAACAAAATACGAGATCAGAGATGATATCTTTCTCTTGATGATGATCCGTCGTTTTTCGCGGAGAAAAATTTCATAAATACTGGCTGTTCGTCTCTTTTCGTCGGTTTTATCGTTGTTCAAAAGAAGAAAGTCCGGTTTTGAGGCTAGATGGTTCTTAAAATAAATCTGATCGCAGGAATTGTGACGCGTTTGGTGTTTGCACGTGGAGTGTGTATATACGTTTATTCGTGGGGTGTTTGGTCACCGTGATGGGTAGGGTGGAGATCCGTGCGAATATAGATTTTCTCGTGGACTAATTTACAGACAAATGGAATTATGTACGGGGAAATTCTTCTGATAGTCGTTGAGGGTGTTGACAGATCTCACAACTGGAATAGAAACATCGTTAACCCCTGCGCGATCCATGTTATTTTTACTGCTTCCCACATACCCCCATAGGGTCTTTTATGTCTAGACCTTTTTTTTTATCTTACCCTGATAACTGCATTTGTCTACTACGACAGACGCCTACTTTCTCACTTTAGTGACAATATCGTTAACGCCCAGACCCTTAGATCGTTATTTGAAAATTATGAGACTGATACATGTGTTGTATCCTGTGATTTTTATGTCGAAAATACAGATATTAAACGAAGCTGTTTGTTTTTTTAAACTTATTTTTATACCTTTAACGCACAAACACCTGTTTTGGGGACAAAAATTATTTCTCGGGCGTATCGTCTATGTATCACCCATCCCCCATTCATATCATCGTTTCTCACCCCCAATCGAGAATCGAATAAAGCGCTTCGACTACGTGAACGTCAAAGTGACGATATTCTATATTCCCTGCATTATTATTTGCACACTGGCGATACGAGTCCTTTGTACCAATCCCCTGATCCCATCCTATATCTGATATCACATCGGAGAGACAAAAGAAGGCAGTTTCAGACGAAAACATCAAAGCGAACGAGAGACGAGAAACCAAAATTTCGCTATTCTTCAGTTTCAAAGACCATCTAGTCGAGTTCTCCATGACGAAACTATATGCTCCAGAGGATTTCATATATGTACTTCAGAAATGACACTAACCCTTTCAGACCTGAATTTTCTTTTAAGAGTAAAAACAAATATTTGATTACACATTTTAACTCAATACTCTTTAGATATTATATTTAAAAAACGATTTAAAAAAAAAGGTTTGTTATTCAATTCTGAATTCACTAGACCTACTAAAAACACAGAACATGAAAAAATTCAAATTTATAAGAAAAATATGGATCTGCAACACACTGTATCTAAGTTTTTGTGGTGAAATTGTAAGAAACTTCGTGTATATGACCACCAGGTCTGAAAGGGTTAAATAATCAAATCCTTTCTCTATCTTGAATCCCTAACCGGAGTGGTGACTTTAATCGCAGAACCACAGAAACGTTCCGTTGCAAATCCAATTTTCTTTGTCCATAGGTGCTGGCCGGTGTTCGTGTATCGAAACGAAGAATCTTAAATATTTTCTGAAGTTTAAACACAATCAATTACATTTCAAACACCTCACCGTGATCGACACAATTTTCCATCACAAATGTACTTAAGTATCAACTTGCACCTTGGATCCATAGACAGAATATTTCTATAGAAATATTTCTATAATTTATAATTATATTTCGATAATTTATAATAGAAATATTTCTATGTCTATGATTGGATCGTACGGCTATTTTCATTCCTCCGACGTCAACGCAGAACAAACAGTTCGAATTAAAGACACCTATCGAATGTCGATCACAGACATAACCAAAAACACAAAAAAAAAAAAAAAAAAAAAAAAAAAAAAAAATGAGAACAAAAAGGTTCGTGAATAATTTTATAATGCTGATCGTGGACGTACCGATGTAGTCTTTCGTTTTTCTCGTTTCTTCAGCAACAGATTTCTCACGAGCATCGCTCGCAGTTGAGACAAGTAGACCCCGCACGAACCCATTCTGCGAGACGCACTCGTCCTCTCCATTTCTGTAACAAAGAAAAAGACAATGAGACTAACAAGGGAATTTTCGATTTTTTCTTTAAACTAGACAGATTTGTACGGGACTTCGACAGGAGCATGGGACAATTTTTCGTTTATCGCTGATGTTCTGTTCTTCTGGGTGAAACCGCCCCTTAAAGGTTAATGTATCTTTTCGAAAATCGAAATTTTCAAGGTATACCCAAGTTTTCTTGTCAGATAAATCGACATAGCGACGATCGTTTCTCGAGTAATCGGTGCAACGTGTTAGTTCAAGCGCACGTGGGCTTCTCTCATAACGAATGGGCTGACCTGTTAGAGGCTGCCAAGTTCCATTGCATACCCTAAGACTTCGTCGCCCGAGCCAAGTCTTTGGAATTCCTGTTTTGAGCGTCTGGACAAATGGATACACCATTTGTACCTTCAACACATTCTTCGTGATTTTTTTAACCCTTTGCACTCCGAGTCATTTTTACTATGAGGAACCAGCTACTCCAGGACTATTTAATTTTAACATACAATTATACATGCAACGTAACAGTAGAGGCCCCCATGGAAAAGTGAAGAATATTTTAATTTTTAAATGTATAAAAATACAAAGTTACTTTTAGATTTCGCCGCTGTCGCCGGAGTAGAAAGGGTTAATATCCGACTGGAGATTTTAGGGGATCCAATTCGAAACTACTAATTCGGTGTATCTACTTTTTACAGAATTTTCGTATTAACCATTTATTCCTCAAGCCCATTTTTTTATTCGTAAATCTACCCTGTCGGGAAAAATCACACAAATCTTTCTAATTGATAATAAGTATATCCCCCGACTGCATTCATCATTCTTTCACCGCCACGACTCGTAATCCATTCTTCCCTATATAATTCCGTAATTTAATCGTACATCATTTAAACTTTTGATTTTTATGCGATGCTGAAACGAAAACGTTGCGAACCATGAATCTTCATTATCATCGTGATGCCCAATAGCTAACCTGAAGTCTACACAGAAGATCGCTCGTTTAAAAGGAAACTTTACCTCGAAAATTCCAATTGTTCTTTATAACTCCGTAAACTTGTAGAAGACCTCCATAGAAGTATCGCGCAATATTTCGTTTTTGCTGCTATTCGATTCTTCAGGGTGAAACCACCACTTAAACCGCCTTTTCCTATTTTCCTGTATATCTTCAAAATTATTGCAAATATCAAAAAATTGTTACAATGAAAATTTTATAATCCTTTATACTCTATAAAAAATCTGTTTTTTCAAATGAATAAATAAACGAATTTTGAACAATTTCATTGCACAGTTCTATAGAGTATAAGAAGCCATTAAATTTTTATTCGAACAATTTTTTGATATCTATCATAATTTTCAAAATATACAGTAAACCAAGAAAAGGCATATTAACCAATAAGGGGCGGTTTCACCCCAGAAAACCGAATACTAGCAAAAACGAAAATTTGCCAGATGCTTCTGTCGACGACTGTCTAAATCTGTGGCGGAGTTTTCGAAGTATATCGTAGTTCCCTTTTCAGTGTCTTCCAAAACGCGTAAAAAAATTGTTTCGTCGATCGAGCGTCACACCTTTCATCAGAGCAGGCCCGTAACGTCTGGCTCGCGCAGAAACAGTCGCGCGATCTGGTCGATAATTCGTCGTTTGCACCATTTAAGCGTTCGCGCGTGTAACAGCGAGCAATATGCCAGTGAATAATGTCAAGGTCCTCGCATAGTTCCGTACCCGTGGCTTACGAAAAAGGAAAAAAAAAAAAGGCGTAAAAGGCCGATTGTGCGAGCACCTGGTTCGTTGTACGACATCGAACAAAAAGACTTGCAGGGGATCGAGAGAAAATGAAGAAGCCAAGGCTTCCGGTCGGTTCTACGTAATTCTCTAATGATTCTTGCCGCTTGTAGCTAGACACTACATATATGGACCCGTCGGTAAGAATTATTCGAGCATTAGTTACAGGACCCTCTTGTGCACAAGTGAATTAATATTATTAACAAAATTTTACAAGTTACTAGTACTAGTAAATTCTGTTGTACAGTAGAAATAAGTTTCTTAACCCTTGAAATTTCACCCCATGCGAATTTTATTTTAATAGAGTAAAGTCTCGATAACTGCGCGGAAGGATCTCTACGTTAAATGCGTGCTGCGTCATCCCTACGAAATATCGTTCTTGAAGTGACAATTCGTGATGGGCGTGGAACCTGTTCAAGTGCATATTTCGTTACCCCTCCACTTTTGTTGTCGAGGTTCGAGCTTCGGAAAAAAGAACGAATTTACGAAGGTCTGAAGCATTTCTCCCTGTAAGATTATTGTCCCGGCGCGGACCCGAGTTCGGGACGATAATCGAGAGGATTCTGTACATCGACACTAAAGATACTAAAAGAGTTAACAACGAGTGTACCGCCAGCAGACTGTAACTTTTTGGAAGAAACATAAAATTTAGACTACAAACCGCTCAGTTGATTTAGCGGTTCCATTGTAAAGTTTATCAAATTCCTTCGAACTGCTCGACAAAGAATGACGAACACTATTACAGGTTTCAAAGAAATGAATTTTCGCGGTCAGGCTGTAATAATAAAAGCGCTAAATACTTTTGGCCAAGGCTGTACGTACACTTGCACAATCACGGGCAGTTTAATAATTAGAAATATTCTCATTGATCGACAGTCACGGTTACGTTCCAATTTAGCCAAGCTCGAGTCGAATCACTGCTGAACGTGCTCTGAATGATAACGGACACATAAGTACGCGTCCTGGGGCCATTTATGGGATTCGTTACCATCATTGGTCGCGATATAAACAACGTATAACACATCGCGTGCATTTTCTTCTTCCTGATCGTTGCGTCACTTGCTTGTGACGACTGTCGTTACATAATTCTGACGTTTGTTCGACGTACACGTTCGTAACTTCCCGCCATACTCGACCTCCCTTTAATCGTGACTAGAGAGGGTATGCAAAATCACTAATACAGTGATTGATCGCAGCGAATATGACTTTTTTTTTATGCTGAGTGAATTTGCTCAATGTGATCGTAATTCTTGATCTTTAAAAAAAATATTTAAGGTAAACCAACCAGTGATTGACCAAATTGTTGAATTTATGAACGTTTCAGATTAATACTTGAATGTATTTATAACAACAAAACAACTGTTGAAATTGCAATTACATTCGTTTTTCGTGCAATTTTTATAAACGTAATTACTTATTGTTATCGTAATTTTTAAACAATGATGTATAAAGTGTGTAATGTGCGAAAGTCCAGTAAAAACGAGATATTTACAAAATAATTTTTAATACGTACTTACTATCTGGTAGCTATAGGTGCTCGAACTGATGCCCCTCAACTTTAATACAGCGATTACAGTACAGTGATTATTTTGTAAATATCTCGTTAACTATTACGTATAGGACGTAAGAAGGTCACCACAGCTTTACTTAGAATTCGATACCCTATCGATATATGATATAAACAATAGGTCATTCCGTTAAAAAAAAAAATCAAGATGACCTTGAAATCACTGAAATGTCTCCACCCACAAAAAAGCACGTACCTTATAAGATGTGCCCTTTGATGCCATTTAAGTTTCACGCCTCAACATTTTCATAAAGTGTACCGTTAAGTCGTTATTCGAGGTGATCGAGTTAGCTGAGACACCCTGTATATCGAAACGGGGCGATCCCTAATCGGCCGTGCCCTCTTCGCGATCGAAACTGGTAAGCGTGGGCCGCCGATGTTGGCCGAGGTGCCTGTGCCGTTCCTACCGTACCAGATTCCCGATCGATCGTGAGTTCGCGTAGGGGACGCGCCATGAGCCGCGAGAATGGTGTTGCGGTGAACGACAACGATGACGACGACAGTGCGTTCTCTCTCGGTGCATCGCATCGGTTGCGATTCGCCGTTCGCAGTGCCGTCCGCCCCTTGCCGTCCTCGGTGCCGACAGCGGCGCGCGGTCACCGACCAGTCTAGAGTCACTGGCAATTCACCGAACACAGTTCAAATGATTCCCAGAGGTCTTCAGGGATCATCAAAGTCATTGATTTGGGGTTCAAAGAACTTTTAGAGGTCCGTGAAGGGCATCAAAGGATCCCCAGAGGTCCTATAGTGCCTCAAAGGATTCCTAGAGATCATCAAGGTCATTGATTTAGGGCTCAAACGGTTTCCAGAGGCACTCAAGGTTCATCAGGGTCCCTGAAGGGCCTTAAAGGGTTTGCAGAGGTCCCTGAACGGTCTCAATGGGTTTGCAGAAGTCTTTAAGAAGAAAGACAGCAAAAACAGAAGACTTTTAATGGGCCCAAAGGGTTTCCAAAGGTCTTCAAGGTTCATCAAGGTCCACGAAAGGCGGGAAAGATTTTCCCCAGAGGCCTTTAAGGTCTTCTAATGGACTCAAAGAATTTTCGAAGGTCTCTAAGATGCATCAAGTTCGTTGAAGGGCCTCAAAAGAGTTTCCAGAGGTCTTGATGGTTCACCGTGGGCTATGAAGAGACAAACGAAACCATCTTTAGAGGATCGTAGAGGGTCTCCAGTGATTTTATTGGAGGACTGTTCGCGTGTCTAATATAATTATTGTTCATTTCTATTAATAAGAATGCATACTCCAACTAGAAAATTGTACGATGAGTAGGAAACAGTTAACAACAACGTGCCACAGTCTATAGTCGTCGTAAGTAAAATAAGCGAACGATGGTCAGACACGGTAGCCAGTATTCGATACGTATTGACGTATCGATATTTTCTTGAGAAAACGTGTTCTCTTTTCTTTTTAGAATCTTGTATAAAAAATTTGTTTTCATAAAATCAAAGAACCTTCGAACACTCATCGAGGATTTACTGTATCTATAATACTATTGACCGAAGTGATACAACGTAGGCCGTAAAATCAATTAAAAAACGATTCATAACTTCGAACCGTGGACCCAAAGAGCTCTTAGGTCTCGCTCAAGACTGAAAAACAAGTATATGTATATATCCCCGTC